ACCATTAAACCATTTGCGCTAAGCATCAACTTTTCTGCGTTTTGTTGCCATTTGTGTAATTATAATTAAATTATAGGGTCATTAAACGCGCAATTGTGAATTATATACTTGTTAGGTTATAACATAATTTAGCCTACGCGTGTCGCAAAATTAATTCTGTTACGTAAAGAATATAATCGTTAAAACAGCTGTTTTGTTACTATAATCCAGTGAAGCGTCGCGGGCCGGATTATATTGCTCCGCGGACCGGATCCGGCCTGCGGGCCGTAGGTTGCCAACCCCTGCTTTACATCCTTCCAACTTGGTATCTCGTTCAAGGTTATCCATTTGAAATAAGTAAACTCTTCCATTGGTTTTATCCATTTGCACAAGTACTAAAAGCATTTGCAAAGTTTGCAACTTTAACACCATTGATAAGGAAAACGCTCTGTTATATTACAATTTCATACAAACTCGTAGTAAAAATATGTGCACGGTACGAAATAACAATGTTCTGTATTAGCGGTGTGCACATTACGATTGCAGATGCAGTAAAATTCCGGACATTTGAGCATTTTTTTAAATTCCTCCCGGACGCAAAATTTAACCCTAAATTCCGGACATGTCCGGAATTTTCCGGACGGTATGGCAACCCTAATCTAGTACCGGTAGGATGTTAAACACCCTACTCGATAATGTGCGAAGAACACACAACTGTCTGTATAAAGGACCATATGGCATATTATACGTATTTGATTTATTGTATTTTATGCTTATAATAGAGGGGCTTGCCGCACACTCGTATGTTTTAGGCCCGTATGGTCTTGTGCATACCCGTGTTTCGCTGAAAATAAGACTGGGTCTTATTTCAAATTTCTTCCGAAAAATAACAATAGGGATGTCTTAAATTTTCATTTATCAAAAACAAATTTACAAATTAGAGAATTACGAGATTTTTAAATATACAAAATATGAAAACCATTATCCATTTACTTATAAATAACACGTTTTTAGTCAAAATAACTGTAAAACATGGATTATCAATCATTTAAAACGTGTAGGAGGGATGTTAAAAAAAATAATTCGACTTATTGACTAGGTCTTATTTTAAGAAGAGGGCTTATATTGAAATCATTTTTAAAATTCAGGCTAGATTTTCGTTGAAAAATTCTTAAATATAAAACTAAGTCGACCTAATGCGACTTTGCTATATTTTTTACAGTTTCCAGCATAGCATAGAAGTCGTGACAAAGTTGATAAAAAATATGGTAACTTAATATACTGTATGTTGAAAAGTCTCTCTCGATTGGTTGATTTTATCACGTGAGGCGTTTACGGTGTTGGAACTTGGAACCCAACGCTCTCTGCGGCTGCTATTATCAGATGTGCGTCAGATTTTAGTACCGGTACTGTATAATTGTAAGTGAGGATGGAGAAAATGCGATTATTTTAATGCATTAATCTCCTTTAGCTGGTAACAAGCCAGGCAGGAATGGAACTTCTCATTATACGACAATATCTGTAGCTTAGATCCTAACTACAAGGCTGCTTATGGCTTATGCCTGTACTGCTGTAAGCTGCAGACGTGTGAAGTCTGATCGGTATTATCTAGTCTTCATACCGATATCTTAATGGGGTACCTGTACCGTATCCTAGTGTCTTCAAGCTGTCGGTCCTTGCAGCCTTGTGGTAAAGCAGACTCGAGTTGTTTTTTGAAAATACATGTCTGCATGTCATAAATGGGTCTCGTGTAGTTTCGTACCTAACGTACTTCTACTGTTCTAGTGGGCGTAGCATAACAATTTTTTGATATGTCAATCCTAACCCCCATCTGATTACGCCAAAAATTAAATTGCTACGAAATCACAATCACGTCATAGAGCTTGCCAAATATACGCACGGTCGACCGAAATGGCATTGACGCCGGCGATAAAGAACTGACTGACGTTATCGGTCTCTCGCCTATTGGAATCGTTGCGACGCGAAAACGAGAGAAATACATGTTCGATTTCGGGTGCTCGTTTGCGCGTCTTGGATGGCAGTTCGTATAGTTTGAAGGGCTCTATTACGTGACGTTGTAATGATGTAATTTTTGGATGGTGTAGTCAGGTGGGGGTTAGGATTGATACGTGAAAAAATTGTCATGCTACGCCTACTAGAAGTATGTTAGGTGAGTAACTACATGAGACCCGTCATAAATACTGTAAATATGGGTCTCGTGTAGTTTCGTACCTAACGTACTTCTAGTAGGCGTAGCATAACAATTTTTTGATATGTCAATCCTAACCCCCATCTGACTACGCCATCCAAAAATTACGTCACTACGACATCACAATCACGTCATAGAGTTTGCCAAATATACGTGCGATCACCCGAATTGGCATCGGCGCTGATGATAACGAACTCGCTAACACCAGCGATCTTTCTCTTATTGGGATCGTTGCGACGAGGAAACGAGAGAGATAGTTGTTCCATTTCGGGTGTTCGTCTGCGAGTCTTGAATGACAGGCCGTATAGTTTGAAGGGCTCTATTACGTCACTGTGTCGTCATAGTGATATAATTTTTGGATGGTGTAGTCAGGTGGGGGATTTGGATTGACACATGAAAAAATTTTATGCTACGCCCACTAGAAGGACTGGAGTACGTTAGGTACGAAACTACATGAGACCCCAAAAAGCAATATGGTATTTTTTCGCTGCAAGTTCAGAAGTTATTGAAAAAAAATGAAGAAGACAGAAAGTGGTATTACCGTAGTACCTCTGTGGTTAATATACATGCTTCTCATTCACCAGTTTCAGTCTTTGCGTACAGACCTGGTTCTTTTTGCTAGTCCAGTAATCCGGATTCTGTGGAAATACATGCCCGATTGCTGGATTGTGCCAGCGCTTCTTAAAAATGCACACAAGCCAATTTGCATACATACCCAGAATTCATGATTGATCGCGATCAAAAATATTCAACAGTGTGAAGCGTGTTCAATAACTGAATAATGACAGAATGAAGAGTGCTAACAAATTCTAACATCACAAACTAATTGAAAAAAACAACTACTTTTCACAAGCAAGCCAAAAACCAGGCCTCTGTTGAAACATGTTTCTTGTAACCAGGATTTCTTTCGAAACAACCTATTCTATATGCTATACTTGTATCAGATTGAATAGGTCATTAGTCAATTAGTATCGTAGGTATTCTAAAAGTAGAACAGCTCGAAAGTTCAATCTATTCATGCATTTTTGCTTGTTCTTTTCTGCCCGAGCCTCGTTTACCTATGTTTGTATTTTTTACTTTATTTATTTGTGTGTGTTGGTGAGCGGGCACACGACACTCTTATGTTTAAACTTCTAGTTTAGAATTCTCCATTCAATTGAACAGAAAATGAAAAATAACAATGTCATCCTCTTCTGCTAGACTTAGGACCCAGTACTGGGGTTCTCTGATCATCGACACCCTCATACACACATGGTTTCAAAAATTTTCTCTAGTTCTCTGCGTTTTTCTAGCAACCAGTCAGTTTTTCGTCATGTTTTTGACGCAAGGTGTAGGAAGATTTTTTCTGCGGTCAAAGGTCGGGGAAACGTGCATTGGAATGTTTCTCCATAATGCGACGATATTGTAAGTCAGTTTCACGCGAAAAGTCTGAGTTTGATGCAATCTCGGACATTATGCATGTGAGCTTAGACGTTTTGCAAGCTGAGTTCCTGATTGAATGTCAGGATTCCAGTTTTGCATGTCTGATTTCTCATTCAAGAAATCAAGATCATTTTTTTTTGGTTTTTACGTGGTCATTTTATGATATCTGGCAAATTGATTGCCAACTTCCTCTTTCTGAATAGGCCTCGAATTATTTTAGTTTTTAGTCATTACGCTAGCTTTATTCAGTTCCTCTTAACTCTACTCAACTTCATACATATTCTTTTTACAAAAATTGTCGATTTAATAAATAATGCCAGCTATTTAAAAAAGGATTTAAAACTTAATCGTTTTTATTAAAAATCTAGTAATTCTTAGTGCAGAAATACATTTTCAGAAGCAATACGCATTTAAAAGTATTGTTTCACAAATCGTTTGGTGAATGTTCAATTTATCAATATATTGAAATTGATTACACATTTATTCTGCCATTTCTCTACTTGCTGTTACTTAGGCTACTATTGGTAATGGGGTTGAAGTAAGAATACTTAACTATCAGAGGAGCATGAGTAGCCAATGTAAGTATTTAATGTTTTTTTTCTTGGCAGCATGCTCACACTACTAGGGTGAGGGAATAAATACTTAGCGGTATATCTTTTATTACTATGGCAAGTAACTTGACAGATGAAATGGAATTCATACAGCGACAATGCCACACTCCTATATTATATTCTTTTATCTACTGCACTTTCTTAGGTAACCAATGTAAGTGTGATATGACCTGTTTTCTCATAAACTTGTTGGTATAGCATTCTAGAATGGAAATTATACTTTGATGTCAATATATAGTTCTGACTTCAGTTATAAGGCATTATTTGAAACTATTATAGGACTCCATCATCACTGTAAAAGCTATACACATATCAACATATGTCTGAAGACTGAACACATATCAAACAAAGTCAGATATATAGGCTGAAAAATTGGAATATCAGAGAGACTAAAAATAGTTATAACCCGATTTAGCCTCATTAAGTTAGTAGTTTTTCTGTGACTCGATTATGACTAACAAAATTGTGAGATATTTTTAACAAAAGCTTGAAACCTATCCTATCCAAAATCATCACTTGTCAGAAATTGTGTACTGAGTAACATTATATTGAAAAGAGTGAATATGGTGAAGAATAGTAACAGACTGCTTTTGATGTCATTTATCATATTGCTTGAAATTAATTTCTTATTCAGTTTATTCATTTTCTTAAAAACATAACTTAATCATAGGTTCTGATAAATGCAGTGCATATTTTTAATATTTCTGTTAAACTTATTTATTAAGTTCATCAGAGAGTCTACTTTCCTCTTCCTATTACACATTCTTTTCACTTCCTTGTACTGAGTGATAAGTTATATTTTTGTGCAAGCTTAGCATTAATATTATCAAGTTAAATAAAAACTGTAGTTTCAACTTTACCGAGTTCTGTACTTATGGGAAATATTGCATGGTGAAATTATTGAAAGAAACATGTCCGATGTTACTCTGAATCAGGTATTTATTTTATTATTTATGTGTTATCAACTTATATTGCAGGGTTAACACCTATTTGTCACATACTAGAGAAAAGAATACAGTAGTTCGAATAAACTTTTGAATTTACAAACTTAGAGCAATTTGTCATATATACAGGGTAACCAAAAAACAGAAGCCACAAATTTCTTAATTACCTATACAAAAATGAATTACCACTTGAACTTCTGTTTGTGTATGATTGTACCCAAACGTTTCAGTAATCTAGGGCAGTGGTTCCCAACCTTTCTACCCTGGCGGACCCATAAAATTAAATTAAATGTGCTCGCGGACCGGCAAAAATTGAAATGACCGGAACATAAAAGAATAACATATATTTGCGTAATACAATGCAATGTCGGGCACTCGGGCACTCAATATGCATCTAGACAAAAAAGGCACACTTAAAAACAGCTCACACGAAGAAAAACTATCAAATAATGTGCCGGCCAAAACGATTTGCGTAATGAAATGCAGTGCTGGGCACCCATTATGCGTAGGAAAGGCACACATTAAACATCTCACATAATAAACTGTACATGCCAAATCATGTACAAACGCAATTAACTCTAGTGAAAATTTTGCTGCTGTTTAGTTTCAAATATGGGATTGCAAACGATGCCTCAAGGAAGTTTCTGCAACACGTAGCCCTGCAGCGGCGTGCAGCCAATTTCCATGCTTCGCTTTAATTAAAGCTAGTGATGAAAATATTTTTATATATAAGTAATAAAGTAACTCGTTGAAAATACGGACAACAGTTTGATTGCTCGATTACTTAGCGATGGGTATTCGTTATCAAGATATCCGAAATTGTTACAGTGATTCTTTTTTTAAATCTGGTCTGTGAAGTAGAATCACAATTTGAATCAAGTTTTTTCATTGGTTTTATCATATTAATCCCTCTGCAGTTGATCGATGCTTCAAACGGAATGAATTTACATTACAATGACAAAGTCGTCGGTGATTTGGCACCAGGCTCAAAATCCTACTTTGTCTGCTCAAGATACTGGAAAAGATCTCAGCGGCCCATGCTTTTTTGCGCTCCTCGTGACCACCTGCCATATTTTACTGGAGTACTATACTTTACTTGACTGTTTTTTGATTTGAACAAAGAAATATGCATAACGTTTTATTTGGATGGTCATATTAATCAGAAAAAGCATGCAGAACAGTAAAAGCATGCGTGCCAATTTTTAGGTTTCCGAATCTTGCGAGATTTGATGGAGCGTATTCACGATGAATCGGAGCCGAAAAAGCAAAAAGTGTGATTACTTGGCGCCAAGATATCGCGAAAGACGTCGCAATATGACGGCGGAAGAGAATTTGCATAATAAATCAGTCTCGTCTTCGGTAAAGAGATCGAAGCGCATTCGAGATGAATCGGAGCCGAAAAAGCGAAAAGTATGATTACTCGGCGCCAATATGACGGCAGAAGAGAAATTGCGTAATAAACCAACGCAACCTCGTCCTCGGTAAAGCGATTTAGACGGCATGAAAACAACAAAACACCGAAATTTTCTTTGGCGACGGTTGGGAACCAATGATCTAGGGCGCGTTGCACAAAAGTTATGTTCTCTCTAGAATATGCTATAAAATTTGGTTTTATTTTAATGGGATGACCAAGTCAGAGTTATATGCTATTTCGAATACATTGCAAGATAATATATTCCAAATTGGTCAAAATGACCAAAGAACATATAGTCAATGTTCAGGTAGTTTGAATTTTGAAATTCAGTAAAGTTAAAATAAACAATGATTTGGTACAGTTTTCAAAAATCAAATAAAAGCCTTTTTGATCTCAAGGTGATTATAGCTTTTTATATGGAACTATTGTAAATTATTTATAAAATTCAAAAGATCAGGTATCATTAATTTCAAATTAAATGGAATATATTTTATTTGTATTGGACATCTCCTGTGTGTAATGAATTACCTATAGGCTATATTGAAATTTCAAGTCAAATTGTCATGTCATGCATTCTTCTTAGTTTCGATATGATATTATAGTGTCAAGCACATATATAGATAGAAAGATTGAATTTTAATATATCAAAATACTTTGCAATGCAACTACATAATATAAGGGCAAATGTTGTCATTTAGCTAGGAAACAACATTTTACATAACACAGCAATGATAATACATACTTGGTTACCTCTGAAAACCCTGATATAATCAATTGAATCAGTCGAACAATACAAGTTTCAAGTTAATCAATGAATCCATTATGTCGGTATTTGGGACAATTGATTTGGTAGGGCACAAATAATACCCATCTGTTTCCATTAGGAATTGTATTTTGATGAGTTCATTTGATATCTGTTATATTTTTCTGAACTGTCAATTTTTTCATGCTAGCGTTTTGGTGTACCATACTTTGACTACTCTGTTACATGGAATAGAGATGCCCTAATGTGACATACATAGGTCATTCTTTTTTCTCTCTTATATTTCTGGATGGTGATATATGATATTATTGCATTGCATCAAAGTCTGATTTTCATCTTTCATTTAGATTTATTTCCAAAATTAATCGAAATAACTTTAAATTAAGTTTGAACAGAAGTCTGTTGGTACTGCCACTATAATGTTATACAAATGTATATATTGTTAAAAAGGAGTTTATTGACTCGTTTTTGCCTATCACTTTTCAAAAGCAGTTGTTTTCTGATTCAATATATTGATCATTCGTAAATAGTATATAGTTGAACCATGACCAATAAAGATTATAATAAAGTCCAATCAATGCATATCTGATCCCTCCAATCCATAATTTATCTCATTATTATATCTCTTTCTATCATAATGCAGATTGTTCTTCTGGAGGGGTCCAATTTTACTGGCTATTAAAACAAAGAGTTAATCTTCCTATAAAATCCCTATATACATTCAAAATACGTTTTATATCGATGTAATGGTTTTTTAATATTTTGAAGGATCTTTTCACTCCAATGTTTACAACAATTTTTTCATAATTCTTTTAGAATACAGATGGTCTTCCAAATGGATTAGATGGGAAAGATATGGTGCAAGAAGGATTCTCATCCAGTTATTTGCAAACCTCTCAGGTTAGTTATCACAACCTTGCTAAATCAGTCCAAAATCTAATATTTTGTTTTGTTCAATTGAATGAGTGGCTTATGGAGGACCGTGATCAAGATATATAACTCACTTGTTGTTTTAATTTTGTTTAAATAATACAAGTGCAAACGACTAGTTCTGAATATGCCTTTATCACAATTTTTTCTTTTATTGACTTTGAGACTTTGGTATGCCGGTTACTGTTTGGGACACGATATAGGTAATACTTTTTTATGAAGCTTATTACTGTTTTTTGAAGTTAAAAATGTAATGTCCATTATCTGTATTTGATGGATGCTGGAATTGAATGAAATAAAAAATTAATTATACAAGCAGTTACCGGTAGCTTTATTTCTTGACTCTGAAATTTTTTTAGTATCTTCAATAACTATTCAGTCATTGCATTGATTCATGTGCCAAGTCTTATATTTATAGGCGAGTTCTGAAACTAAAGATATAAAATATTGTATTTAATTTTCTAAACGTATAGCTTAATTTAGGCATGCCATCATATTCGCTTGTTTGAAAAAATTACTTTTAATTTTATTAAGTGATGATTAAGCAATATGCAAATGTTTTGAATTTTACCTGATTCACAAGCTTGATGCATTTATGGAATCTGAAAATATAGTAGCTATTGATTGATGCCTGATAGCATTGTTAGCCCATAGTGCTTCAAATTTCATTTCATCAATTCATGATTTTATTAAGCCTGCACGTATAGTAACCAATACTGATGATGCAATAATGCATGTGGATTTATTTGTGCTGCATGATGTAACAGTGGCACTTGTAAATTGTATTTCTACTTCAATTTCTAGTCAATTTTTCATTGTATTTTTTAGCAACCCAACTATGGTCTACCTCCAAACGACCACTACATTCAAAGCTATTATGGCCAAATGGCATTCCCATCATACATGGGTGAATGGTCGACTGCTGGAGAATCTGTGCCGTATTTATCTGGATACAATAATATTGGAAATGGTGAACCGCAGCATAGTTTCATGCCTGATGCTATGTTTGGTCAACAACCTAATAGCATAGGTAATGGACAACCATACTTCAATGCTCCTATGTTCCGACATGGTAATGAGTTTACGGCCTGGACATCTCCGACGGCGCATAGCACAGGCTTGGACACTGGTGTTGGACACCAACCATCGCCAAATGCTTATAATGGAGACTATTACCAGCAAATGATGCCGACTATGCCGCAGGATTATTTGGGAAGAAACGAGATCATGGGTAATCCAAATAACATGGGGAACATGCCTAGTCACAATAATCAAGGTGGAATGATGCCTGGTGGAATGTCAAGTGGTGATGCTGGAAATAAGATGCCTACTTCTCCTAATTCGATTAATGTAATAGAACATGGAATGCACAATTTGAATGTTCATGGCATGGGTGGTGATGCAGAACCTGTGGTTGGTAAAAACGTCCAAGTTGGTATTGGAGGTGGGGTCAATCAAGTAGCAGACAGTCCTGCAATGCAGAATAGTTATAATAATTCCCAGGGACAGGCAAAGATGGCACCTGCTACCAACAATCAGCAGGCACCTTCTGTTCCAAAGCCAATTTCGTGGGCTGCCATTGCTTCAAAACCGGCTAAACCCCAACCAAAGCCTAAACCCAAACCAACTGTTGGCTTGCCACCACCTATTAAACATAACATGGACGTTGGTAATTGGGACGCAAGTAAGGTACCCCCAAGAGTAGCTTCTAATGCCCATTTTGGTCAAGCTCCTAACAACTGGGCTGGTTCGAAAGCATCTGGATATACTTATGAGTGAGTAGGATTTTTTGTAATATTTTGTAAGACTAATAAAATTGCTGTTCAACTTATTAACATTAATTGTGACCATGTCTGGGTAGCTGATTTGAAATAAAAATGGCTCCAACTTTTTCGCCAGCATATGACACTTTTTTCCATTGTTTTTAACTTTCCGACTGCATGTCCAACTCCATAGCTAATAATTTTGTTGGTGCTGGATTGTATTATTTGTATGTGTTAGAAATTTATACATATGAAAAAAAATTTATCGGTAACTGCCAAAAGCTGGAACCTCTAAATATTTCAGTTTCTGTGGCATAATAATTTTTCTTGTATAGGGTTTTATTATTTGTATTTTCATCGGATTTTATTGTTTGTATGATTATGAAGCATTAGAAATTTATAAATGTAGAAAAAAGAATTTCATAGCTGATAGCTAGAACGGCTAAAAGTCCTGATTGTATAAACATGATTTTTTCAAACACAAATGTCTATTTATAAAATTTGATGTGATTGAGCTCAAAGTGTCTAAAATTTTCCTGAAAAGAAAATCTATAATGTGACAATGTTATTATGGAAATACGGCCAAATTGAGCAAAAGGCAAAAAAAATAAATGTTTTCAGATATCTGGATACAGATAGTTATACTTTTTGGAGTTGCTCACAAAATTATCAGCAAAAAATTTTGTTCTAAGTAAAACAAGGAATAATACACTAAGAACAATACATAAATAAGATATTGCACAATGTATACAGGATGGATGTGTTTATTTAGGAAACATCGTAAATATATTTGCATATGGTAAATATTTGATCCACGCAGAGATTTATTAATAAGTTCTTGCTTTCCCATACACATATATGAATAATCAGTTGATGAAAACAAGATTCAACATTTCATTTGTGATTCTCTCATACTGCAAGTGCTTTAATTTAATTTTTGTGTTAATATTCTTAAAATAAAAATACACCTATTTTAGTGAAAGGTTCTGAATTTTAAGCTTGTTTTACGAGTGAAACTCTAATAGTAGTTGATACTCATTGAATACTCATTTTCATTGATTGAACAATAATTTTATTTTTTGCTTACTTTCTTTATTCTGATAAATTTAGAAATGGTGGTGATGATTATGAACCTGCGGAGTCAAATAATTCTGAGAAAGAAGCTCAAGATTTGAAAAATAATTCTCCAACTTCAGCAGTGGCTCACCCTGTTCTTGACAAGCTTAAACTCCAGAATGAGTATAATCCGAAGCGACTTACTATGGACCTTCGCAATGCTCGTTTCTTTGTGATTAAGTCTTACTCTGAAGATGACATTCATCGCTCAATCAAGTATAATATTTGGTGTTCGACAGAGCATGGAAACAAAAGGTTGGACACTTGTTTTCGAGCGCAGAAAAATCGCGGTCCTGTCATCCTTCTCTATTCTGTCAATGGATCTGGACATTTCTGTGGCGTGGCAGAGATGAAAACCTGTGTGGACTATAGTAGTCGTGCCGGTGTTTGGTCGCAAGATAAATGGAAGGGCAAATTTCAAGTGAAATGGATCTATGTTAAGGATGTGCCCAACACTGTATTGCGCCATATTCGACTTGAAAATAATGATAATAAGCCGGTTACTAACTCCCGTGACACACAGGAAGTTCCTGCTGAAAAAGGACGTCAGGTTCTGAAAATTATTGCTAACTATAAGCACCAAACAAGCATCTTCGATGATTTTGGACACTATGAACGTCGACAACAAGAAGAAGAAACACAGAAAAATAGAGCAGCTCAAGCAGCGGTAAGTTATTCCTAAATCTCAAAACTTGAATGTAAATTTAATCAACTTGGAGGTAATTCAGATTTCAGACATTCTATATCCCGCACCAAATGGTTAGAAACCCATTCCTGTGGACAACTACTATTTTAAACTCTGGTATGAAGGACAAAAATATGAACTTCTTCATATAATATTTTGAACAAATTGAATTTTATTTCATTGAGACTGGGTACTATTTCAGTAGATCAATTGAAATGTTCAATTGAGACTTGGGTTCAATTTCAGTAGATCTTAGATATACGGTTATACAGCTTGAAAACCCTAAATGGAAATAGAACAGTAAGACTCTTCAATACATTTTAATTTATGTATGTTAGTTATCACAGTGTTTCCGAATGATCACATTTCATGCAACAATAATGTATTATTTTTCTTTCAGAGCCGGAAATCTGGAGACAGTCAGCAAGGCTACGTTCCTAAGACTACTACTGCATAAAGGTTTTAGGTTGAAATATAATTCCATCATCGCCCAATCTTGTTTATCGATGTATGTTGTATTTATGCTCATTTTTTTCCAAATTTTAATCGTAATCGTGCTCATGATTTCAAATCATTGTAGGTTTGGACTAACAATTACCAACGATATTACGCTATTTTTTGCGATCATATCTGTTCAATTTTATTAATCACTTCACTTGAAATGCTTTTAAATTATGTCATTTCCGATGTCTAAAGTTTGGTTAAAATTTTTGTCGACTTGGACAACTGAAATGTAATAGCCCATTTAGTTGTTGAAATGCTAGCAGTGTATGTATTGGAAATTCCAAGATTGTATATAATATATAAATAAGAAGTCGACAATATGCTATTTTGTTTGGGTGTGAATTCTTCATCAACTGAACTAGATCTATCGAAAATACTGAAGTTTTGTAATAAAACTTTAGTATGATTTGGTTATGCATTCTGAAACTAATCTGAAAATTTCAATGTTTAGTTTCAGGATATGGCTAACACCTAAATAAGGATTGGTTCTTTCTCGATGGATTTGTTAATATACTTATTTGGGCTTTTCTCTGTAGACTGTAAATATTCTGCACGGCTTAGGATTTTCTTGCCTCTGTAGAAGTGTAATATCAGTGCGATATGTCATATCCTTAATAAAGACGCGCATTGACTACTGGTATATGACATTTACTCTGTAAAAGCATGTGGAATTAGACATTTGCCAGTAGTCTGTTTGGGTGTCTGTCACAATTTTGTAGTTCTCGTAGTTTTTGTTTTGTAACTTATTCAGTTTCTGACCCCAATTTGTTATCCCCAAGCATATACAAGACTCTTGTGAACACAGAAATAATAGATCACTTGATATGCAGCAAAATCCTGGCATATAAAATTACTGTTTGTAGTGGGACCCATTATACTGACAAAACATTAATTCCATTTGATTGGATTTCAAAAATAATATTGATCATAATCTTATATCCTAACTTTTGAGAGTTTTGAGCAAGAGCTTTGAATTAAAAATAACCATTCACAGGCCAGCATACATCACAGATATCACATTCACCCACATATTTGATTCAGGTTTTTGTTTAATTCATGATAGGTTTCAGAATATACAAAATGCTGTAAAATTCGTGTCTATCCCCAAATTTGGGTCACTATTCTAAATTTCTTTGATTCAGTTGTCTGTATTTCGTAATCCCAATTTGCAGAAAATCATGATTTGATATGTGAAGAAAAGTTCAAGTTTTTTTACATAAAAATTTTTTTTTTTCTGTACAACAACTTCATTTTAAATCATTGTTTACAAAAATGATAAATGTGGAACCCTGTTAAAACTTTATTCATGTGTCACGCCTAATTTTAATAATATATACCATATTAATGTCTGATGATGGATCGCATGTATATTTGCTTAATCGTTTTCAGTTAATTTAAAGTTGAATCACATTTGTTCTTTCAGAAATATTTCATTGTAATCTGTGTCATTTTCCAAACGATGTCATTGCGATTGTATCTTTGTGTACTGCACTGCATTTCAATATGATTTGTTGACTTAATTTACGACATATACGTAATTGCAAATAGACTCGTCGGCTCTGTCTACCGTTATTTTTTCCTTGTAGCAAAACTCATGGTCTGTTTTGAAGTACTGCCTGAAGGAATGTGTTGAAGGGAGGGAAAGAGGATGGCAGTACACAGTTTTATTTAAACTTGTATAAATAAGAGGTTGACTCGGCACTGCGCAATCAGTTGCTTCAAATTAGTCTCAAAACCACGTGTTCTATAAACATGCATAACACAATGGTGAATGCATGAAACTTCGGAATGTCTAGTAGAGTCTGACGCAGGGAATGGTGGCTCGTATGCTATCGTACCCTTTCAGTATGAATTTTGATTTGTGGTGTGCTCAACGACCTGATGGGGTGGCACATGTGCACTTTGTCTACTTGTTGGTGCACCCTCAAGGATCTGATAGTTATTTTATTGGGTATTAGTGAGTACCGGTACCGGTACTGAACTAAATCGGGATTGTCGTAATATGTCAGTATTTGAGTCTTGATGTACACTACGGACCGGATGCTGATTTGATCCGATGACGTAGGGGAAGGTTGGGACACTTTTTTTCTTTTGCATATTTTGAGCCGTTAATTCTGCATATTCTCTTAAGTTTGCGGGACTAATGCATAGAGGGGTAAATGTAGTTTTTATTCAGCAACAAAGAAATTCCCTTGCGACACACATCTTATCACCAAAATGCTTTGAAAAACGTCTGTCAAGTGTCCCACTGTACCCCACTTGTGGGGCACAGTCGGACAGACCCTGGGGCACAATGGGTCAGTCTGTCAAAATTCAACGAAGTATGCCCTTAAAAATAAGCAATTAATCAGCATAATCGTCTAAAGTACGGGGAGACTTCGAATTTGAAGATTTAATATTTTTAAAATCAATGTTCAACTGAAATAGTTCAGATATTTTGACAAAACATTTTGCAAAAAAATTTGATTATTTCCTTCCTCGAATCTAAATCTGGAAATATTATTGATTCTCGAATATATTCCATATTGGGCCATGGATCGAAAGAAACCATTATATTACACAAAATATAACGCATTGTAAGTGACGCCCTTTAACCTGATGATATTTGAAGGCGACAAATACGTCCCGACCGAGATGGCCGGCCTGTAGACTATATAGCTGGCTGTATTCCTAAATTCCTTCGTCCAATATGATTGCCACTAACTTGCAATGTGTTAAATTTATTTGAAACCAATTAATCCAGTTCTTTTATTGAGTGACGAAAGATAATACGGTGTACTGTAAATTATATTCTAATTCCGTGTGCCGTATACCGTATATTTAAAGAATTTTTTGGGCTACCAACTACAAGTCTACATCTGTAGGACAAACATGCTTGATTAACAATAAACTAAATAAATGTGCAGCTTACTAACTAATCAATGGACCTATACCGCAGTAAAGCAAAGTCGGAAACCTAAATATTCTAAGCTAAAACGGCGCTGCCAAATGCAAAGCGCAACCTGAAACAACGGGCTGACCTTGAGTCTGAGTCGGTCAAACGCGGGCTCTTGTCACGTGACATCTATGTGACGTCATAATAGGTGTTAAATGACCCATAACAATATTATGATTTAAAAAAAAGGGAAAGATTGATCGTTACATACCGCCCCCAATAACTTGACCGGGACTGTGGAAAGTTATTTCAAAACAAAACGATCAATAAATCACATAAAACATAACTAGTAATCGAACGAAACTCATGAAACATCACTCCACAAATTGGTGGAATTGTACAAAAATGAATATATACATATAAACATATGTCTTAGCGACCAAAAGCCAAATTGTCTTAATAGCCTCAATAAAGCTCATATAGAGCAAAGCCCCATTAAATATATTGTAACATTTAGTCATTACAATCATGCTTCACAATTCTTCTAGGAAGCATAATTTTCTGATATCACGAATGAAAGATGAAGAGGCAGTGTCTACACGCACTCTTCTAACATGACCATTACTGTCAGGAAAGGTCTCCCTGATGATTCCTTTGGGCCATAAGCCTCGCTTGGTGTTCTCATCTACAACGAGAACTAAATCGCCCTTTTTGAAGTTTCTTTCAGGATGGAGCCACTTTTGTCTGGCCTGAAGTTGAGGAAGATATTGCTTGATCCATTGTGACCAAAATTGATCCGCTAAGCGATGGACTAGTTTCCAGGATTTACGATATCCATCTGCTCGGTTGAACTCTCCAGGAGAAAGCGACGAGTCAAGTTGACCCGTCAACAGCATCTTTGGAGTTAGAGGGGGAGAATCCGCAGCATCGTCACTGGATGAGGTGATAGGACGATTATTGATGATTCGTTCCACAATGCACAGAAACGTTTGTAGGCCTTCATCATCAAGCACTCTTTCTCCAACCAGTGCATACAAAACTTTACGCACTGTACGAATAATTCTTTCCCAACATCCTCCTTGGTGGGAAGCAAGTGGAGGTGAGTGGATGAACTTGACACCACGATTAAGCATATAGTTGTGTAATTTATCATTGTTCCAGGACTTTATTGCAGCCTTGAGTTCTCGTTCGGCCCCAACAAATGTAGATGCATTGTCACAGTAGATCTCCTTTGGCATGATATGACGACTTGAAAATCGTTCCAAGGCATTTAGAAACGAATTGGTCTCCAAAGAATGTGAAACTTCAAGATGAACAGCACGAGAAGACATGCATGTAAAAACACAAACATATCGCTTTATTGTGCTTCTTCCTTGCTTGATTATGACTGGCCCCATATAATCTATTCCAGTCCATGTATAGGCTGGATGACCTGGGGTTACCCTGCTGGCAGGAAGAGGTGCCATAACTTGTTTGCCAACCTTTGCTCTTTGCATGCGGCATTTAAGACATTTCCTTAGGTAAGAGCGAACAGTAGATTGACCATGTATTATCCAGTATCGTTCTCGAATGACTGCAAGAACATGTAATGTGCCACTATGTCCCTCTTGCTCATGGTACTTTTTGATGAGTAATCTTGTCACATGGTGATCTTGAGGTAGAATTATTTGATGTTTGCTATGTAGTGGTAGCAAAGAATGTTGAAGACGTCCTCCAATTCTCATCAAATCATCTTCGATAAATGGACATAAATTCTGAAGTGACTGACATTGACCTTTACGAAGTTGACTCTTTGGAACCTTATGTTCTATATTATTCATTTCAAGATACTTCATTTGTTTAGAAAACACATCACGCTGGGTGATTCTGAGAATTTCATGAGTGGCATAATCCAGCTCATCAACACTTAATTTGCCTATATCTTGAAATTTAACTTTGTGCAAATACTTTGCTTTGCAGAATTTTGTGAAACGTATTATCCAAGCAATTGCCCTTTGAAGTCGCCCATAATCTGAGTAGCGCTCCATAAGCATAGACAATACAGACTTGACATTATCCTTTTCCATATTAACATTCGTATTTATTATAGTCTTGACTTCAGGATCATTTTCAGGAATCCGAGGTAAAACTTCAGGACGCTTAGGCCAGTGTTCCTGAGAATGCCAAAGAAATTTAGGTGCGTTAAACCAAGAAATGGCTTTGTCGATACATCTAGGACTTAATCCTCGTGATGCTACATCTGCAGGGTTATTTTTAGTGTCTACATGTCTCCATTGATTAATCGATGAACTATTGTGAATTTGAGCCACTCGGTTAGCTACAAAAACATGATACCTTGCTGATGTATTTGATAGATACTGGAGCACTGAAGTTGAATCTGTCCAGTAATAAACATTGTTGACTTTGTATTCCAACTCCTTTAGGACAAATCGACTGAGCTTCACTGCAAGTACAGCAGAACATAGCTCCAATCTTGGGATGGTAATCTGCTTTCTGGGTGTCACTCGAGATTTTCCCAAAACAAATGAGCAATGAATAACACCATTCTGTGACATCATACGCAAATAACTCACTGCACCATATCCAACTTGGCTGGCATCACAAAATGTATGAAGCTCAATGTGGTCTGTCTTAAATCCTGGTGGTTTGAAACATCTGGGAATGGACACTTCCTGCAGTCTCGGAAGCTCGTTAACCCATTTTTGCCATATTTCTTCATATCGGGTTGGGATCGGAGAGTCCCATCCAATATCTTGAGCACATAGAGTTTGCATGAGGCTTTTCATTGGTAAGATGAATGGTTGCATCATACCCAATGGATCATATATTTGTGATATCATAGAGAGACAACCACGTCTCGTGAGAGGCTTTGGCTTTATATCCACTTTCACAGTGAACTGGTCACTGACATTATTCCACATAATACCAAGTGTCTTAGAGCAATATGATTTATCAAGTGTTAAATCCAAAAAACTATCTTTAGCTTTGTCTATATCTGAAATGGAAGAAAGAACAGACCGGCAGTTACTGCGATACTTGGTAAGGTGAAAACCTACATTAGATAATAAGCAATCTAACTGATTAATTGTATCAATAGCACAATTAGAAGAATCACAAGATTTCAAACAGTCATCAACATAAAAATTATTATTAACTGTATTTAAAACATCAATATTAGCATTTGTTTCATTATCTATTGCAGCTCTTTTTAAAGCATATCCAGCTGCACTGGGTGAACTGGTTAGGCCAAAAAGACTTCTGGTCATAAAATAGAATTCAGGTTCCTTTGAAAGGTCATCATTTGGATACCATAAAAATCTTAAGGAATCCCAATCATCAGGATGAACTTTAACTTGATGAAACATTCCTTTTATGTCACACACAAAGGCTATGTCTTCCTGTCTAAATCTGGTCAGAACTCCAACAAGATTTGAGCAGTGGTCTGGTCCTTGTAATACTTGATTGTTGAGAGATATATTGTCCACCTTGAATGAACAATCAAACACAAGCCTAAACTTTTCACCAGTTGAGTGATGAGGTAAATACCAAATCTTCTTTTCATCAGACGGGACATGGTCTTCAGGTATTTTCTTAGCATAATCATTGTCAATATATTCATGAATTTTTTCTTTGTATTTATCAAAATACTCTCGATCACGTTGAAATTTTCTCTTCAAATAATCAAGTCGTTTCTTTGCAAATTTATACCTCTGTGGGAATTGTGGTTCTTCACATTTCCATGGTAACCTCATTTGATAGTGACCATCAACTTTACATATTGGATTTTCCATGATTGACAAAGCTCTCGTATCTTCGATTGAAGGTGCAAATTCTTCAGTGAAATCAGATTCACTGAAGTCACAATTAAACATTCGTTGCAACTGCTCACAAAGAACATCTCTTTCAACATTAGCAAAATTGATAGACATACCGTTGGTGACCTTTGAAACATCTTTGCCTATGAGTGTCCATCCAAGTGGGGTATGAACAGCTGCAGGTTGGCCTTTATTACCTAGTCTTCTATCTTGAATTATTAGAGCTTCATAATTATCAGCACCAATCAATAATTCTGGTTCATGATTCCCTATTTCAGGAAAATCGATACCGTTGAGATGCCGGTAACTTTGTATATCTGCCTTCGTAGGAAGTCCATCTGAAAGTATTGGAAGTGACTCAACAGCTAGAACATCTTCCAACATAAACTCGTCAGATTCCTGTAGACCCTTAACATTTAGGTGCAATCTGTAGCCGTTTTGCTTATGTAGGCCATTGACTGTGGAAATTGTGAAAGAATCTTGCTTCCCTTTCACCTTAAGTTTCTTCATAAGACTTAGCTTACAAAGAGTTGCATTTGAGCCATAATCAAGAAGTGCAGTGGTTTTTACAGAGTGTGAACCATCTGACGAAGTTACATTAACCGGTACAATCATGAGATATACCCTTTTTCTTGAATTGAGAATTGATGCATCAGTGCTTCCATTGACAACATGAGTTGAAGTGTCGCTTGTTGCATTTCTATCAGAAGGCTTGTCCTGTCTGATACGTTCTTGGTTGTGTAGAAGCGAATGGTGCAATTTTCCGCAGTTCTCAATTTTGCATCGGTTGTCACTGGGACAGTTGCGTGCTACATGCTTGGTACGAAAACAATTGAAACATAAAGCTTTTGACTGGATAAACTTTGCACGGTCTGGAACAGACTTCTTGATAAAGGATTCACATTTCCACAACCTGTGGAGTCCATCACAAAGTAAACAATCCGAAAACACATTGGACGACTTAACTTGTGATGTTTGGGTGACATAAGCGGACACCTTGGTAGAATTATAGCTCTTTTTTGGCATAGCATTTCTATTCTTCAAATTTTGCTCTGCAGTGAGGACGGCTTCAGCCTAGTATCTGCCAATATTGCAGATTGATTAACAAATTTATACAAATCATGATATGTTGGTTCTTTGTCACTATTGTAAGTAGATGTATGATGTCTTGTGAACTCTCTTTGCATTGGTACTGGAAGTCGTAAATAGATTTTGTCAAACAGATCTTGACTGTCAAGCTTAGAGCTATGTTCCCAATTCGTTCAAATGATACCACAATTACGCATTTGTGTGGCAAGATCATATAATGCTTCAGAATCTTGTGGTTTTATGCTAGGACCATTTTTGAGTGAATCCATAAAAGCGTTTACAACTTTGTAATCTCGTCCGAATTGTTGTTTGAGAATTGAGCGTGCATCAAGATAGCCTTGCAAAGGTGGTTTCACTATGATACAAGATTCAATTGCTTTTCTGGCTTTTCCGGTACATTGATCAATCAAATAGTTGAGTTTAGTACGAGGATCTGCAATTTTACTATCATACATATCATCAAAATTTTGAATAAACCTGTGATAACTCAACGCATCTCCATCAAATTTTTCTATTTTTTGAGGTCCTTGTCTAATTGAAGATGCCATGCAATACAGAGCATCAGCAAGACTCAATGAATTTTGGTTACCGCCAACCGAAACTGGTGTAGGCCCATGGCTATAGCTGGTTGGATTACCTTGCATAAGAACTTGTCTATCAGGAACATGTTTAGACTCCTGTCGTCTTGATTGAGATTGTGAACCGATGCAGAATTGCTATTGTATGTTAAAGGTGAATTATATTGCATCTCTTGTGGTGCTGATTAGACCGAGTGATATCTGTCTGCAGCAGTAGGGTTAATGTCACATTGCTCGTTATATCTTCTTGATGAATGGTACTCAGCACATGAGTAACGTGTTTGTTCCAACTGGGGAACCTGGTCAACATATGAATGCTTCACTTGTTGTATGCTAGGAAGATAATCTTTGTTCATGTATGTTTGTGACGCAATAGGTGGGCTGAAATGACTTTGAAATGGAGGAGTTTGATTTGTCTGGTGCTCATGAGAAATTGACGCTGGTTCAACTTCATCAAGACATGCATTAACTGGTTCGCCATATGCATTATTTGGCATTGCGGGAGGCACATTTGAAATTTGAGTTACATCTTGTCGTACAACGAAGAAATAGAACCTACACATGAAGGTGCCCAGCTGGCGGACGCTAGAGATTCTAATTCCTCATCTATCATGGATGCCTTAGCGCGTGACAAGTTAATATCAATTTCGAGCTTTGCCTGCTCCATTTCAACCTTTTTCTGCTCCATTTCCACTTTTCTTTGATCCATTTCTACTTTGCGTCTTTGGAGCTGGGCTTCATTCTCCATCTCCTCCAACTTTAACTTTGTTAAACGAGCACGCTCCGAGCGCTGGCTGACACTAGACATCTTGCTACAATGCGAGCCATTAGATGCAGTACTTTTAGCATCATCAAAAACTTGCCAATCAGCACTTGAACTGTTTGAAGCCATCATAAATGATATGATTAGAGAAATGAATTTACAATAATCAGTCAGTGAAATTTATTTGTACAAGTCAATCTTGAATTGTGGCCTGGGCAATCCTAAATGCGTTGAGTGGCTTGTCCACTCAATGCCACAAAATTCTTTAAACGATGTAAGTGACGCCCTTAACCTGATGATATTTGAAGGCGACAAATACGTCCCGACCGAGATGGCCGGCCTGTAGACTATATAGCTGGCTGTATTCCTAATTCCTTCGTCCAATATGATTGCCACTAACTTGCAATGTGTTTAAATTTATTTGAAACCAATTAATCCAGTTCTTTTATTGAGTGACGAAAGATAATACGGTGTACTGTAAATTATATTCTAATTCCGTGTGCCGTATACCGTATATTTAAAGAATTTTTTGGGCTACCAACTACAAGTCTACATCTGTAGGACAAACATGCTTGATTAACAATAAACTAAATAAATGTGCAGCTTACTAACTAATCAATGGACCTATACCGCAGTAAAGCAAAGTCGGAAACCTAAATATTCTAAGCTAAAACGGCGCTGCCAAATGCAAAGCGCAACCTGAAACAACGGGCTGACCTTGAGTCTGAGTCGGTCAAACGCGGGCTCTTGTCACGTGACATCTATGTGACGTCATAATAGGTGTTAAATGACCCATAACAATATTATGATTTAAAAAAAAAGGGAAAGATTGATCGTTACACGCATCTCTAAGTCTTTAAGCACTTATTGTATCAAACACTGTCGAATTGTGCCCTGTAGAGCATGTCCCACTGAACCCCGGTCCATTGTTCCCCATAGGAAACAAATACTTTCAGACCATTCCACGGCAAAATTCGGAAGGCACAGCCAATCGCTAACGTTAGGAATATTTTACAGTGGACTGACGCTAAAGAATATCAGACGATGGTTTGTCTCGTTGGAAAGGCTAAACTAAAAAAAAGAAAAAACTGGAACGGTGAAATTTTTTTTTTCAACCTCCCAAAACCAAATTCACCCTATAGCTTGCGCCGCTCTACCCGTCCGTTGTTCGTTCGCGGGGGACGTTGTAACTCACCGAAGGGCGGATTGGAACATCGAGCCGCGGACAGGATTGCGGATATAGTATCAGTGTGATAGCTGATTTTCCACTGTGCCCCATGTCCCAACGTACCCCACCTTCCCCTACCTTACCTGTCCACCACAACGCAGCTTAAACTAGCAGACCGTGGTCCTGTACTTTCGGCTTAATTTGTCATCTTTTAGTTGCAGTCGGCAGGTAAAATTTCATTTACAATGTTAAATATTGATGCCTGCATGGGATAGGATTTACATGAGAGGATGGCGATAAGACGGCTCAATCATATGGCGAATTACGGCCTCTTGTCCGGTTACCAGTTCAAGTCGGTTATGGAATTAGTTAGCCAGTTATTTGTTTTCTGAAGCATGTACTTGATGGTGGAGGAAGCTGTAACCGACCAGCGCCTACGTGAACCACCCCACCGCGACGAGGAGTCCAGCAATCCTCTCGCACATAACCATCGCCGCATGGGATGCGAGCCCACGCAGGGTAATCAGAGGTGCGGTGGCGAACGTATTCCGAACGCTTAGCACGATGCGCCACACGGCCAACCATATAATATTCTGTTCATTGCATACTTTATTTTATATCATACCAATATTTCATTTACCGTCGAAGGACATGGGCAACCTGATTAAACCTATTGCCACTATTCAAGGAATGCCAGCTGGGCACTACGTGGCATGGAAAATTTCAGAGGCAGAAATATTTCGAAAAAAATATATTCAAGCAGTAGAAGTCGGAACCTGATTAATATACCCAATGGGTAATTTAGAATCAGCTACTTAAGTTATATCATATTTGATGAAACAAAATTATTTCGACTTGTCGCCACTGCGAGCGTTTCATCATCAACAGCATCATTTTAAACTATTTGCGAGTTTGCTGCTCTGCATTACATTAGATTCACTTTTCGGTTTCATGTTGACCAACAACATATATATCAGTTCGTAGTAGTATATATTTACGATCAGTTAATCCCCACATTTTATTGCTTATAGGCTATACATAAAATAGGGTGTCTCCAAAATGTCGTGTCCCACAATACAGTAACACGATAATAAGCAGAACTGGGGTAAAGTTCACGGTGTAGCCTACTCAAGAGCAAGAGTTCACAAAACGAACTGTTCACTTCGTCGGAGTAACAAAGAAAGCTTATCTCAAGAGAACATTAAATCCCCTAATATATGGAATTGGTGAATATCGATTTTCTTTAAATATTGGCTCTGAAATTTTACTTTTTGACCTGCACCATTTGAATTTATGAAGGAGGTCTTCGGGGATTCTGCTGGTAATGCAAAAGGTCACAAATAGTGGACTTGCGTGGGTCACGTGACTTTGTTTACTGGACGGCAAAAAAAAACGTCCAGCTGGCTCCTGTCAGTTGCAAGTCGGATTATACGTTTCCGTTCTGTTTGGCTGTTGAAAGTGGATATTTCGTATTGTACCGTTGGCTGTACGTATAGTATAGGATACTATAGACCAGGGCTTCCCAAACTAGAGGTCGCGGCTCTCGAAGGGGCCGCGAAACGAATTTTAGGGGCCCCAAAGGGAGCACCAGTTTTACACAAAGTAATATATCTATTGTACTTCTCCAGACTCTTGATTCTAAATACAACTATTCAAATAATGTGAAACAAAATTTCACGATTCCTAATAAACACATCATCATACTGTGTAAATAAGACAGTGTCTTCAATTTTATTTCGAAAATAACAATAGGGCTTATTTTGGGGTGATGTAGAGAATAACGAGATTTTTTATTATGCCAAATATGAATACCGATTTCCATTACTTATAAAAAGCACGTCTTCATTTAAAATAACTGTTACATATAGATTATTAACCATTGAAAAAGTAGAAAGAGTTGAAATTTTTATGAGTATTAATTTCTTGCTATCGACTAGGTCTCAGTGGTTCTCGAACTTCATTGTATTGTGACGCCCTTCAAAAATAGGCTCAAGTTACGACTACCCGTAAAAATACGTATTGATACCTTTCAATAAAAGACTTTTTTTGCAATGATTTTCATATAAAAGAACAAACGAAACATAACGACAGTCAGTGAAATAATATTTAATGGGCCTTGGTAGAAAAGTCTGTTCATATAAAAACGAAATCGCAAAGGGGATAGGAGTCCGCAACGCTTTTTGAACCAAGAAAAATAATCTTTATCTACAGAAAACCACATTTTCATAATTAAACGTTTTTAATGTAACACCATCACAGGTAGGATCGATATAATCTTCCCTTTGTTTCTGTAAAAGTAGAAGATATGGGTTGTTTGAAAGGTTCACGAATCACGAAATTTTGCGACGTCCTATGCTAAGATGGCGAACCTTTTTTGATGAATAGGTTGAAAATTATATTTTTATCGCGTAAAAGAAGAGAGTGGGTCACATATAGTTAATCAATATTTGTATCTATATCAAAGAATTTTCTGACACAAATCTTATTAGTTTCTGTTGGTATTGGTGTAGTTTTGGGCTTTACTTATGCAGCACTTCTATCAGGGACTTTTTACTGCATTCGATTTTATGAAATTAAAGAACGAAAACACGCGTATCAGCAACAATTGAAATCATAACTTATTCAACTTCAATTATGGAGTGTTTGCAAAAATTCAAAATAAATACCTTTCTTCTTCGATTGTCGTGGACATTTCTGAAATTGTGGTTAAATCTGTGTAATCTTCAATGAAAAACATGGCTGTTAGATTAAAACCAGAGTCAATAGTGCAGTTCTCCGTAGATATAGGTAAAGTCCCGCTTGTCCCAGGAAATGTTGCTTGAGACGAAGAGATAGCAATCCAGCTATTAAATGTCGTTCCGCATACGACTTCTAATAAGCTCCCTGCAATATAAAAATTATTTCACGCAACTTTTTTAAAGAAAACATTGCCATCGTAAATGCGCATACTTTACCACACACATTTCATTGCAAATTGCCGTTAAGCAAATGACTGTTACCATGGAAATTCAAAAATCTAGCCAATGTTATTATTGCGAGCAAAGCATTCAAAACTTACTCCCAAATATAACAAAGTCAACAATTTGAAAGGATCCATTCGAAGACTCCATTTTATATGTGATGCCTTCAAACTAAACTTTTCAAACTAAACAAATTTATGTAGGCTACATATCGTTATGTAGCACATTCTGAGTTTATACATTGCTATATTTTCAATGTTTGAGATTGGTTATTCCCTGGAGCGCTGACTATCAAGAACAACGTTAATCCTGAGGCCAAAAAGAAATGATATATTGGAAAAAATTGACTAGATAGACTCGAATTCTGTGCATCAGTCCGGTGTGCCAAGCTCTATCAAAAGCTTTTTAAACATCAAAGACAATTAATTGATTTGGTATCACCGCTTCGATCTAACGACGGTATATTAACATATCGGAAGTGGAACGATTTGACGAAAATCATATTGCGTATTCCTTGATACCTAATTATTTCGTGGTCCACCAAGCGCTTTTTTTTGGTAAGCTAGGTCTCGAGGAAATCTTTAGGTGTTTTGTAGTATCTATGGTTACTGCTACTATCCAGACAATATTTTCCCACTTAGACAAAAAACAAACGTCTGGATCAGCCTGGCTTACGTAGGTCTATTTTAGCGCTCCTCTGACGGATAACTCGCTATTTGCCTTGTCGTGAGTAACTGGTCGGCTTATTAACTACCAAAAATACCCCTATTACGGCTTGTCAAATTATGTCATTGCGGATTGCCTGAGGTAAAGTTACCATCAATACATGCCTGATTGAAGGCAAAGGCAATTTTACCCCAACCGTACCGATCTGTCAGAGTGACACACATGAAAAACAAACAAAGATTATCAAAAATGTTCAATCAACTGCTGTTGCAAATCGGCTAAATCGTTTTGGGGTCGTAATCAATTTTGTCATAGAAAGTATACTCATGCACCCAAGCTTAAGAACTTCTTTGAATCCTCATAGCATAAATGCCACCTGTCAGGTATAGCTGCCATAGATCTTAAAGCATCAATGTTGATGTTCAAATAGTACCTAACAAAATTGAATACATTTCATACTATACTGCAAAAACCATTCAACAAGATTCAGCACAATTATTTGTACTTCAGCATATTAATGTAACAAAATTCAAGCGCCACCCTTTATGCACGCAACAAAAACATTGCACAAATTGTTTCACTTACTAACATTTGCCATAATTAACACAAATTATGAAAAGTACAAGAAAATTGAATAGATAGAGACGCATATATATATATATATATAGGTGATATCAATACAACCCTGTGTGCCGAACTTGAATACATAACAAACCACATAACTTTTTTAACAAGCATGTGCCATTGTATTGATATAATTCGATAAAATCTCGACATAAGAACACCAATCACATATGATTCAACGATACCGTAATTGACCTTAAATTCTAGATTTACTACACAACACATTTGAAAGCATAGCATAGGTTCACTACCTGATAAAAAAAAGTCAATTTTTTATGGATAGGCTATTTCAATCAGTCTTGAATCACTGTAGTAACAGATAGGTGGTCGCTTCTTTCATGAATTGAGAAAATATCTGAATTTCATCATTCGTGAAATATAAGAGTTGTTTAAACAATCAATCAAGAACCAGCTGGCTTCTATTGCAAAGTAGGTGATTTACAGTAAGTGATTGTTTTTTAATTAATATTTAATATTGTGAAAACATAAATACAAATAAAATATTTCTCAAACGTAACTACTATATTAGTGCGAGTAACAGTACCTAAAATTATATAGTATGAACTAGTAAATAGCTATAGACACGCGGCATCCAGTAAATTACAACCAAAATTGTTCTATTATAACATAAGTTTAAAACTACATAATGCAAATCTCTTATATATTTGAAGTGAAAACACTAATTCAATGCATGATTTACAGGCCAATAACTTCTTGAGCATTATGACATCGGGTTTCAAGTTATGACTTACTTTCGAGATGTAAAGCTGTGCACTGGTGATTATATTCATCGACACATTTAATTTATGTATATATAAATTATAGCTGAACATGCTGTTTTTACCCAAATTATAATTCAAGTTTCTTTAATAAATCATAATTATAATGTCCTTGAAATCGATAGCTTGCATATGATTACCAATAAAATCTTGAGAAATTTAACGAATTCTGGTCATTTAGGTCAAATTGGCCCCCCCGTCACTGGAGTAGCATAATATTTATGAAGGTTTTGAATTTGAAAAGATTTTCTGTGAATTTGAGTCCTTGATTTATCCATATAAATGCACTGAACTGCAACTGTGCAGCAAGATCTCAGGAATTCGATGTCGTTGAAACAGCATTACATTGTAGGAAATATCTTCTCAATAACAACCTTACTTCTGGTTTCAATTCAAACAGGAGAAGATCACATAAAGGAGTGTGGAGCTTTTTTGTCAGTGTAAGGAACTGAAAATAGGAATAAATTCATCATATTACTGTAACGAGTACAAAATATTTAATATCAGGATATATTCTACTGTTTATAGGTTCTTTATTTTAGAATTATAATCCATTCAAAAACTTGCTGAGCAAAGTAAATGACATCAGACAATGGGTGAAAGAATCTTTCTCTATCTTTACAGAATGACAATGGATGGACTTCTGGTACAATATAATAGGTTATGAACTGGATAGGCTTTGGCTGATCAGTACACAAACTGATATTAGAACACAGAATACCCAACATGCAATGACAACAGGTTTGGCTAGCAATCTCCCAATTTAAGCTAAAATGAAACCTAAAAAAGCAAAAGATTCAAGTTCTACAAGATCAAGAATGAGAGGATAGCTAGAAAAGAGCTACAAACTCACTGGTTTTTCCTCCAATCTCAATGTCCGAGTAATTAGAAGCAATAGTACTGGTGTCCATGCATCCCTATGTGTTTCAGTTGTAAGTGATGAAAAATACGATAATGCATTCAAACATACACTGAAGATAAAAGAAATATTGATGATAAAAAAAAACAGAAATTAGGTGAATATCAAGTTGTTCTTTGGAGTATTGCTTAAAAATATAAATAACATACGCTTTCAAATAATTGAATTTGAACATTATTATTTTAAGATATGTTCAGTTATAATTCACTTGAAATTGGCATAATGAATGATGTTTGTAAAGATTCTGCCAGAAGGTCTATTATTGAGTTTAATGTGTATTTAAATCATTCCATTGCTACAGTATATCAGTAATGGCATTGTGGTTAATCTCTTCTTGATTAATTGTTCCTAACCATTCAATATTAATAGATAGCTTAGGTAATAAAAAATTAATATGAGAACATAGTACACAAGTCATAAGGGAATAGCAAATCCCCTTTTCTAAGGTGCAAAAAAAAGCATTTTACTGCATCTTAGGTACATAGCAATTTTCGTAGCTTGAAAAGCTTTTTAGACCCTCAAGATTGCTAAAACCCACATTTTTCGGCCTCCAGGCAGACCCGCTAGTTGTTACTGTCTAACTTGGTAATTAGAAATTTCAGAACAAATTTTGAAAATTCTTGGCTACGCCCCCAAATGATACAAAAATTATTCTTCACTGGATGATAATTGAATAAACAAGCTCACAGTAACAAACTTGCATAACTTGACTATTAAATGTAACCCCGCAACAAAGTTGCTTAGAATTGACACCAGTATCCTATTACATTCATACCTGTACAATAGAGCATCCACTCTTTCTGCAGTTTCTAATTGGTCCTTCATTCGAAATAATATTCTCAATGTACATGACAGACTGGTGCATTCTTGTCTTATCAGATTAGGTTTTGACTTTCCTTTGAATCCTAAATAAAAATGGTGGTTACTGGTTAGTTTATAATAAGTTAACAACCAATTTATTGGATTTGCATTTCTCCTGGTTAACAAATTGAACTCTCCCCTTGTTCCAATTTTGATTTTTGTTTGTTTTAAGCATTAAGTTTTATTATTTTCGCTGAAATTTTCGGCTCATACAGGATAAATGACCCTTTTCAAGTCCATTTAATTTTATTCCTTATTCCTATGCTCACTATAAATAGCAACTTAGGTCTACCTGCTTTCCATAAAATAGTCCTCTGTTCATTATCGCCGTTGAATCTTTTTGCAAAGTCGTGAGCTACAAGCAAGCACCGTACCATAGTGAAAAGGTGATTTTCATTCAACTGACTAAACATTGCATCTTTGTGACGAAGTTCCTGTGCAATTGCCATTGAAGGAGTCTGCAATTGAATATTATATTAGAATAGGAATTCCTTATTTATTCAGGCATAGTGGAAATCTGATAAGACAAATAATCATATGGAGTATCACGGCCTCACGTCCAGACAAGATACTGGTCCATGTGGGTTACCGTATGGGAATATTTAACCAGCTATTGATTCAGATGCATTGACTTGATGGTGTAGCAAGGCGTAAACGACCAGTTATGTGGACCACACCATGGCGGTAAGGAGTCAAGCAATCCTCTCGCACATTATTATCAGCCATGGAATTTAAATCAACGAACCTGCGCAGGCTAATCAGCGGTGGGATGACAAGTTGGTTTCTGACGCTTAGCCCTTAGCACCATTGAGTCATTAATACAATTTTTCAATGTCAATTTTGGAATATTATTATTCTTTATTCCGTGTACCTGAGCAACAGTGACATTATATTCATCATCTTTCTTTGTTGTTGTTGGATAAAACAGAATTCGATCGATGCATTCTATCATCTCTGCAGTCAAGATGCAACGAAGTTGGAGAGTTTGAAGTTCGGCTATATCTACCAGAAAGAACATAATTACTATTCATCAAGTGTAAGAGTGCATTATATACGAATGGTGCATACTACACATCAGTATCACAAATAAAACACAAACACATATAAAAGAAATAAAAGAATAAAATTAATTCTTTCAATATTTCAACACTTATGTTTAGTAATCCCCAACCCGACTGTAAATCCATAACTATCAGAGAAACAACCACTAGTGGGATATACAAATCTCACTAAAAGGCATCAAAATTGTTTCAAATGTTACTGAAATGATAGGCCAGAGATTCTTAGAGTTTCTTTGTGTCAAGTAAGAGAAGACACATTTGCTATTAGGATATTTTGATATAGCATTCTACAGGGCGACTGCAAAAAATGAAAACCCATAAATTTCTTAAAAAAAATATTAACCTACCAATTTCTTAGGTACTTACAAAAATGAACAAAAAATTTATTTAACAATTAACAATTTTGTTTGCACATGGTTGTACCTATAAGTTTCAGTAACCTAGGTAGCTTTGCACAAAAGTTACAAATGACCCATGTTGTTTTTTAGGGTCACCCTGTTATGCTAATTCATAGATGAAAGCAGTATCGTTAATGGTCAGGCCACTGCTTAACACCACATCAGCTTAGGCAGACTCACAAACTGATGCCTATTCTGTGGCTAAAAAATAGTTGGAAGTAAACATACCATCATTTCCTGGTTTCCACGTCATGAGTTTATCGGCAGAAACCATTTTAAAAACAGTCTGTATGGTGTCACAAGTAACTTTCCACGTTTCTTTTGTAAATTTTGTTCCGTTTGACAAAACTAAATTTTCAAGGCAATTGACACCAGATCTTGCTAGTTGTTCATTTTCTACAAGAATGAAAGCGTTTACGGCATTGCATAGAAATAAGAAAAATCCTTGTACTTTTTGAACTCAAAGTGGTTGCAGCATCAGAATTAACTATAATGGCATGGCAAGTCAAAATATCTTGTTTAAATCCCATGCCCAGCACCTCATCCAGGGTGTTGAAATTTGGGTTGTCAAGAAGGAAGATTGACGTCCTACCTACACTACCTACACTCTACAATCTACACTAGGCTCGTAGCTAGCAGCGTTTGCTTGCACAGAACTTCTCTGTGAGCAAAACGTAAATTCGTTTTCTGATAAAAATGAAAATCCTTCAGTAACAATTTTGAACATTGATTATGATAACAACAGCAACAATATGGAAACAAAACGATACCCATCGAAAACATAACTCATGGTTTCCGAAATGTAAAATAAATCATTTCCAAAAACCAGGCTTTCAAAGCAGTTTGTTGTGCCCATTATACTATATAATAGAAATTCTTTAAACCCACCTTTTTCAACGCACCACAAAAGTTGACCATATACATCATGTAGTAATGTCGGGGAAAGAGTTTCATAATATTGCGTAAAAACATCACATACTGCAAATAATGCATGATTGCAAGTGGTTGCAAACCAATCACTTTTTTCTAATTGAAGTTCAGGAACTTTCATTTGATCAAATATCCTTAGAAAAAAATAAATAATAATTTTACATCACGCGAAAAGTGGTGGTGGCCCAGTTGTTAGCCAGTAAACAAAGATTAAACAACTTGGGTTCGAATTCGATGCCTGCCCGCTCACTCAGAGATGGCTAAAACATTATGATTTGTTATTTTGAATATATTCTGAAAGAATTATATTGCTAAATATAGATTGCCCAAAGGTAATCTTAATTCAGATTTTCAAACAAATTTGCGATATTGCATATGATTAATTTCAAATGTTGTCAAATATTAATTCATTTTGGAAAGTTATGTGTCAGTAAAACATTGTGGCTGCTCACAAATCAGTGGCTGTTTGTGCAAAGCCTTGATCAGGAAATTTTACTACAGAATATCGAGAGATGAAAGTACCATTATCATACGCAATGGTTCAGAAAAAGTGTTTTCCGGGAAATATAAGTTGAAGAAATTAAACATGGTCAAATCAGCAAGCCTATCCAAATTTCATATACTATTGAATGAGTAATAAAAATTAATAATTTCTGAACGATATATTATATGTGTTCATTGAACTGCAGTGATCTTTTCTGATCGATTACAAATACAAATCAATATCTGGAAATGCAGGATATATGGATGGGCGATTAAGAATACCGAATCAGGAGGATTCAGATTTTTTTCCAGTTACAAAAAACTTTGCCACCTGAATATGATTTGAAACAAATCGTTCCACCAATCAGTGTGAAATGAATCTCCGTGTGTTTTCATTATTTCAAACATGACAGTCAATCCTCTGCAAAAGAAAGTTTGGTAACATATAATAGAGAATAATCTTGTTTATTGGTGGTATTTTATGAATGATTATGAACAAAAGCAAACAAAGTGTTGGAAACTACCTATCAAAAACTTTTTGGATTTGCAAAAAAAAAAAAATCATTTACCTTGTTCTAACGTCCAACTTGCATCTGCTGATAATAATGGAAAGTTCGAACAAAATTGGAAACCATCCACGAACCCAAATATTATCACGATTAGGCATATCAGGTTTTGACGTATCTTCTCCGGAATGTCTTTCAAAAAGCTGAAACAATTGCATGCACCAAAAAAATATACTACATGATAAAATGAGGAATTAAATAATTAGCGAAATTATATGCATTATTTTTTTGTAAACCAGACAATATGGATGTTCATGACCTTGCTAGAAGGTTCAAATGTGGAGCTGTATCAGAGGATTGCAATATTTCTATTACCCCAAACAACCATACTTAAAATTTCCCACTATATATCTATTTCTTACAATGTTCAACTGAATGAAGCGCAAGAAACATTTTTTGGTTTGAAGTTTTTTTCCTTCAATTTAAAACAATGATACTAGATGCATTGTCTCAATATGTTAGGTGTTAGCATAGCCCAGTGGTTCACAAACTTTCATGAACCATAGGCTGCCCTCCAAAAACTCATCAATTTTGGATTTCTAACTAGTTTTGCACATAGTAAGTTTTCATCAGTTATTTTATGCACCGCATTTAATAATAAAAAAGCCAACAAATCGAAGTAAAAAAAAATAAAGGCATTTAAGACAAAGAAATAAACAAATAACAATCAATTTACATCAAATTAAAACAGTCATTAGGAATGGTGCCACCTTTGACGATGGTTCTCTGAGAAATGTTCTGCAGCCTCTTAGGGAGATTTGGGGAAGGCCAATTTGAAAACGATTTAAATATGAAATTTCTATAGGCTATTAAATCCACAGAATATCTCAGTTCAAATTAACCACAAAAATTATTATGTAAAATAAAAATACTTACATCAGGTCGCTGAGCAACATAGTCTGCACACTGTCTAATTAATCGAATTGCTTCCATACTTGTGTCGGGAAAAGCACAACAAGAAAATTCCCTGAGTGCTCCTATTGCATCTTGGAAGCAGTATATAATGGACAAGAAATAGAGGTTGAAGATATCCGCTGAATAAAAAATAATAATCAGTTATAGTATTGAACAATTCATTAAGTGATCAAAGAGTATTATTTTCAACACTCCGAATAGTGACTCTCAAATATTATTCGAAATAAATCTTGGGTTCAAACCCCATGCTTATCTAAGAGTATATAAATAAGTAGGTAACTAGGTATGCTATATACCTAACGAATGGATTGTGATCCCGATATACGAGTTTTTACTTATCTGAAGTCATATTTGGGGCAAAATCAGTAATCAGTAGTTTATTTCTTACCATACTTAAAATACCCTTGTATGACATTACAAAGTAAAAATGACATTTCAAGGTAAAGGCGCAAAAAACAATAGCAGCGACAATCATAAATAAAATGAAACAAGGCATAAGAAACAATCTTACTTATTATCGTTGAAGTAGCATGAAAAGCCAGTTCAACAATGTTTTCATCATGATGTGAAGCAGCTAACGTAAAGACACCAAATATGTTTTTCCAACCTGACTTTATGTTCAATGCCTATTGATAGAAACAAACTGAAATTATTGAGAGAAATTTGAAATTAATATATAAAGGTATAACTGAACAAGAAAGTAATGCTGAAATAAATATATGTTTTGATTGAGAGCTGCAGCTTGCGCGATTTACATCGATATATGTCAGGTATAAGATCATTCGAATTGCGAATAATTCTCACATTGGTACCAGTAAGGCATCAGCATTGTAGCACCAGGTTTGTCGAAAGAATGGCGGACTAGCGCAATCGATATAATACAAATGTGAGCAAAATTTTTGGTGAAATATTGAACCCCGTTGGAATGTGCAAAACAATCCATAATATTGTACAATTTGTTTTTAACAATACAATGACATTTATGTCCAGGGAACTTCCTATTTTAAGACATCTGTACCATTCCACTAACGCTGTGTACAAACTGTTCCTGATTTCATCATATTATAATAACACCAGCATTCATAAACCCAAGAGTCACCACCAATAAAGGTTGGTAATGTTGTCATAAAGAATTACATGGAGTGATGGTAAAGATAATAAATCAAATAACGATCCTATCCTCCTACATATAATTTTTTTTCCTTCGGTTAGAAACTTTACTTTACCTGAGATGAGACCATTTGAGCAATGCACCTCACCACCATGTCTTGTATATTTGGTGAATTATGGTGTTTCATTATATGTTCAAACGGCCGAAGAAAATCTTTCTGAAAGCTGAAAAATATTCAGTTTAAATAAATTTATTGAAAAAAATATATTTATATTCTAATCAAAGATTTCCAGAACAAATCGAAAACTTAAATATGTCGGAATTCGCGATGTTTGGCACAGTAAATATATATTTTTTTTTTCAGAAGGTCGCAGCGGGAAAAAAGAGAAATCGGAAAAACAAAACTTAACCAAACAACGTATTTTACAAACCAGGAAGTGCACTTTAAATCCTTATCTCAAAAACCAATTTACACTCAGAACCAGTACCGATGAATATAGTTTTATAAACAGCCCGTCGTTTTACGTTTTCTTTGAATAAAATAATAACCATAATTTTCATAAAAATATCGAATTTTTTTTGTTTATTGAGCTTTGTACGGTAACTCAATATGCCCTAAAATGGCTGCATCTTATATCCCAGTATGTATGAACAAAACCTCAATCTAAGCAATTTATTGACAGTGTGCTTTATAACTCAAGTGTGTGTCTATGGACTGTAACATACTGAATTTGAGTAAAAATTGTTTGTCGAAAAAAAACCGAAGAAGTAATATGCATGATTTGTTTACCTGAAACCTGGCAATTCTCCTTTTTCCAAGAATTTCATGGATAGTTGTCGTAAACTATCAACAGCAAAAAATGCAATGCTTTCTTCGTCACTACATCCTACTTCATTAAAATAGTCACCTGAAAACAAAAGACAAAATAAAGTTAAAAACTTCATTGGTCAGACTAAGAATTACATGGCTCGTTTAAATGTTTAACAGAATCATTTTGGTTAGTGTATAGGTAATAAGTTGGCAAAAAGTAAGTGTAGAGATAGTAAGTTGGAGTTGGAAGTAGTCAAAATTTGTCAAACAGAAGTCGGGAGTTGGTTCTGAATGACTCGAAGTTTTGAGTCTCATGTGCACCACATATCGTTTCCACAAATATCGTTATGTAATGTAAAATTGTGTTACAAAAGTAATCATAGTTTTCGCATAGGGGCGCTAATAGTGAATCCTGTCTCCATAGGTATTAGTATTACCTTTAGAAAAATTGAAGATAATTGTACATTGTGTTCAGATAATCATACAATTCCTGATCACTATTAGGTCAATAATAGCCCATCTGTTTTGAATATTAACAGATCTTTTACTTGTACTGCCTTTGCTAATAATCATTCAATGATTTTATATAACAATCATGAAACAAAAAATAGGTATATTATGGAACTGAGCACATACCAAGAATGGCCCATATTCTTGACCATTGAATCCTGATCCTTCCCATGTTATAATAAGATATTTCCACAATTTTTTGCAAACAAAACATTCTCGGGTGGAGTTGGTTGGTCAATTCATCCAGAGAAACTTTGCTCAACCAACGAACGAAATCAACTTTATAAAAAAAGAGGGTTCAGATAACAAAATTTGAAAAGAAAACTTTTTAGTTATCACTATAAAGTGATAAATATTGGATGAGTGACGCTATCGAACTTGCAACCAGACTATCCTGTGAATAGCAAAACAATATAAGTTTGAATGTTTAAATGAACAGACTCTATCAGTAACGATATTTGAATATTTTAGGTATTTTAGAGTACTGCTGTTATCATATAATTCAATATTTAGGTATGTATCACTAAACAGTACAAATTCTAAATAAATACCATATCTGCCTTCTTGGCAACATTCGTATGGATGTGAAACATAAATTTTTGGAGCTATCATATTGCATATTCCGAAACATCACAGAAATTATATATTAAACCAAAATCTGACAAGAGGAATTTAGTACAAGAGGGATAGATCAGACGGTTTTGAAATAGATTTTCGATAAATCGATAAACAAATATGAAAAAACATAATTTGATATAAATATGCAAACATACCGATTGCATCACCATCCAGTCTTGTAGATCCTGTAAATATTCGATCAACAGCAACAACAACACTTTGTGAACTTGTTTCACCCATTGATTCTTGAATAGATGCAAGCTTTTTATGCTCCAAACCAAACGTTTTGGTCAAAACTGAAAAAAAAGTCGCAAAATTACATTTTCTATGATCCCAAATATCTGCCTATGATCAGTCTACCTAAGAAACTGGATAACTGGTACAAAAGCAGTACAATACTAGGTAGAGGTTTTCTCACTGGAGTAAAGCCTTATAAGAGTAGAATGCAAAATATAAAATTTCTTAATGCTTTGGTTTCAAAAATTTTGAATCCCAAAATGTATACGGTATGTAGTTAGCATACACCGTGATTTTTCATAGGATAGCTATCTTGAAGCTTTAAGAATTTTAATTAATTAAGAATAGCACAACCACACCAGTACATACTTGGATTGGCATCAGCAACACTTGCTGATCTGACAGCTTTCATAGTTGCATTCTGATCTCGAACTTTTGATCCAATTAATTGAAGAAGTTCCAACTGCGATATGCACTGGAGAATCTGGCAACAACAATTTCAGAAGATACATACTATGTGTCGGGAATATCAATTTGATCTTAGCTATAACGCATAGTATGTACAATCAATACGCAATCCATATTAATATCTATTTCTATAGATATTCGAACTTTGTGCAGTGTGTAACTGTCAAAACCTCTCTTTCTTGCACAATATAGATTTAAGTTTGAAAAATAATGACTAAGCTTTAGACTCCTCAATCATTGACACAGAAATTATTCGGATAGTAAACCCCCTAAAACAGGGTGTTCCAAGGTCGTCAGCTCCAGGGGCCACAAAAGCCCTGGAGCCAATAGGTGCACAGTGCAAAACAAAACAAACGCTTTCATTGTGCAAACACATTGATCAGTAATTGTCATTTATCAAGCTAAAACATGCAAAAACCATCAAAAAACTTACGTGGTCCAAACACCAAATGCAATTTTTTTGATTACCCTCCGAATATGGCGCGGGTCAACGGATAATGAAGCTGCGGGCCGCATGGGCCTGGATTTGGACCACCCTGCCCCTAAAAGGTTCAGAGGACTCATTTTAACTAATACACAAGTGACTATAGATCTCACTTCATGCCAGGACTCTTGGAGATAATTCCCATCTGTGTAAGCAACGTTGATCAGTGTTTTTATCGTCTCGATGTTTTTTGCTTTCATTTCTCTGATGCCTGCATTTGCTTGGAGCAGGGAAAATCGTGAAAGAGCTTGGACATAAGTATCACGTTCAAGCTGTTGAAAAAAATAAAAAATCTATGTTATATATTACCACAGCATGATGCGAGAATCTCTCCCAGTTGGTCAAATAACATTCAAAACTGTATTTTGCCCTATTTTCTATTAGATTAAGGTTATTAACCAAACTACATAGCGAGAATTATCAAACTTTGCACAGTAGAACCTCTACTTACGAAGAACTCCAGTCGTCCTCCCACTCACCTCATTCTTTCCTTAGCCTAGTCGGCCAATGCCAAAGGTAATCGAACATACCGTCCGTTGTCTTTATTTGTTATTTCTGTTTTTTCCTCTTTCCATGTGAACTTTGTATATATTAGGCAGTATTCTAATTCTAACATGATTTGTTACTAGTTTTAACCTTTATTCTCCTTATGAAACACTTCCTGGAACGAATTGATTTCGTAAGGAGAGGTTCTACTGTACCCAAATTATTGTTTTATAATAAACTATCACATCTCATCACAGGTACCATATACTTACTGGTAACTGAAAAATACAAGCAATTCTGATTGCACATCTCATGCCTTCTAAACATAACTGATCAATTCCACTTTCATCAGAATCCTGCAATCCCATTGAGAAAGCAACAAGCATTGATCGCCAAGAAAGCTAGAAATAAAATGGAAAAAGTGATCAGTACTTAAAAAACAAATGGTCAATTGACAATGAAAAAGTTTTGTTCTGACCAAAGCTGTGCAGAAATGAAATTTAGCATGTTTAATTGATATTGAAGTAACAGTCGAATTTTCAAATGCCACAGAGTCACGATTTACAGACTCATAAAGGAGATAATCGAAGGGAAAATTTCCGGTGAAAACTAGAAGGGCATTGAGTAGACTGATGATTTTCAAGGTTTGGATGAAGTTAACCACAATTTCTTTCAGTTTATTTTCGATGTCATCTGATAACGTTCCAACAGAACGAATAGTATCTACCAAACCAGGATGGTTGGTTCGCATGTGGACTAAAAATCAATTTTGTCCAAGAAACTTTGTATACCTCAGAAATTTACAACAATCTGTTAAGCGATAACCATTAGCAAGTATTGAACTTGTTTAAGCAGTTTTGTAAGTCTGAAACCGCGAAGGCATACATATGCCAAAGTCTTCGCTAACGAAAATTTCCCTAATATAAAGCCAGACCAGAAGAGCTGTTTTTTAAATAATAGACTGGTGTAAATTTCTCCACTGAATCTAACATGCATGGATAAAAAATTTCACCGGTAGTCAACCTCTTTATGTCAAATCCAACTCAGACATTAATTTTTGGTTTAATATATAATAACCACTAACGTAAACACCAAATATTTAATGGTTCAATAAATTGCAACTATTATGAGACATAGGAAAATCAACATTGAGCATCAAGGAGAGACAACAACAGACCTGAAACATGGGACGGACATGATCCTGATGAGTGGTGTTGATAAAAGAAGATTGAACATGACTGACTGCTTCCATCAGTGCTTTAGCAGTGTCTGCAATATTATCCATCTCTTGTTTTTTCTGAGCTGCTGACAACACTGTAATAAGAGGGTATAAGTAATATGCGAAGAGGTAGCAGAATTTCTGAAAAAATTGAAGTTCTTTCAGTGAATCATTTATATTTAATTATAGTTAAAAACTTCATAATGTTTTGGGAAATTAAAAATATGCAAAATGATTTAGTAACTGATGTGTCTGGCCTAATTACATTTGAATGACAACGTGGACAAGTTTAAGATCAGGATTACACAGTCCAAACAAGTGTCAACAATTCAATTCAGCTTATAATTCGGTCGACTACCATGTCAAGATAAACATATTCAATTATTCCAGCCCAATTGGTTCAGTATGTCTAAATGTTTGTTTTAACACTGGTCATTCTATAGAGAACAGAAGATCAGGTGTTGAAAAAATTTCTTACATTTTCGTATAAGTAATTAAAAAATTTATAGGTTCTGTTTGTTTTCAGTCACCATGTATATTACAGATACCATCTCTGGCGCATTTCACATTGGGCCATATTATGCATGACTGATCATACTTGAGCAGTGCTTTATGTCCAAAATAAATTAAATATTCAATCTCAGAAATATTTTAGCAAAATATTTCATTTTCCATCCCTGCTTCACACATTTTATTTTGGTGCCAGAGTTTACAGTAGTTAGTGTGCTTTGTTGATAAAATGAAAAAATAAAAAATACCAGTCATGAACTATATCTTAAATGATTTGCTGATAACAATGAAAAATGGGAGCGTAAAGAACAAAACACAACCAGGCCAAAATTGATAATAATGACGTACAAAATTAATTTAAAGCTGAAAATAAAAGAAAATACCCTTAATTCCTTTGACGTTCTGTGATCTTGTAGATTTTAATGTTATCTCTTGATGTTTGATCTGTTCATAAATATCTTCCAAATACTCTCGAGGTAAATCTTTACTGTCATTAATTCCTTTATTCATGCGAATATAATCTTCAACAGATATTTTACGTTTCACCTACGTTTTTTGGCAAAAAAACAAGTATCCAAATAGAATGAAACAGTATGAAATGGCTGATAGAATTTGTAAATAAGAAAGTAAAAAACAACATTGTCAAATACCAAATTGTAGTACAATTAGCTTGCTGAAAGATCTAATGAATTGTGCAATCTAATCTATAAGATATCAGTCCTTTTAAACATAGCATGAAATCGTAGCTGAGATTTGAAACATCTTTCAAAAAATTTATAGTACGCTTGAATCAAGATTTTGTCAGGAAATGTAAAAACTAACAATTATGTGTGTCATCAAGCCAAAAATGAATTTTTTTTTCAGACACCTTCAGCAGAAGACATTTCCTTATACCACAAAAATATATATACCTGAGCACTATGTAGATCGGTTGTCAACATAATAATACTGTATGCAAGCACGTAAGCTGTATCAGCAGATGCAAAAACGGTGTCCCTGAGGTAAAAATACAAGAGGGAGACATTGAATACATTTTTAAAGAAAGTAGAAGCAATTTTTATAGCAACTTGGAACTGATATATATTTTTAACACAAGTAATATTACTACTAAAATTAAAAAAGAAAGGTTTTTTAAATATTAAAAATGATAACCCCAGAAGCTGTGTTTGTTGTATATCTGAAAATTTCAATCAATAAAATTAGATTTCACCTCTGCAAAACTTACTTTGGCAATAACTTACTTTGGATTACAATCACAAAACCGACTTGCAAACTTTTCCATCAATCTATCAATTTTTTGTGCTTCTCCAGGAAGTCTGAATCCTTCAAGAAACATGCGTAACGAGGGTACAAAATCCATCCCGGAAAAATTGAGGTTGTCCACATACTCATACATTACTTCTTTATTTAGGCTGTGTAGGCAAAAAAATAATAATAAAACAAAATCTAAAAACTGAAACATGTCAACTATTAATAAACTAGTAACAGGTTATTGATAGCAAGTATTCATTCTTAAACTTTTATATGGTGTAAATACACCAAGACATAAGCAATGTCGGAATTGCTTTTCCAAATATATATTTACCAGGAAAGGGCAATTACTTTTCTGAGTGGGCCAGTTGAGGATAATAGACTTGGCTCAAAATTCAAAATATGAAAAACTATGAATAAAAAAAGTGCATACGGCCTGCATGCCGTAATTTACCTACCCCTGGGTGAGGTGATGGGTTAAGTCTCATGTTTGATCGTCCTGTCAAACACACACAAACTACAAAATTTGTATAAACCATGGCCATAAATTATTCAGAAGGAGACAAGTTTATTCACAGGCAATTGGAATGTCCTAAGATATACAAAAAGTACTAAATTGCAACTTACGCTTCATTTTCTCCGATGAAATCCCCAACTTGACCGGGATCGAGTCTTTCTTCAGAGGATAGAAATTCAGCGATATCTGATGCTGTGGTGCCAATCATTCCTTGATCTTGCAGGAATGTAACTCCTTTCTTAGGTTTCAAATTGAATCTAGTAAAATTTGGTTTTCAGAAACTTAATTTTTGTGAAAAGTTATGTGCAAAGAAGTTGGCTAAGACTCAGTAGAGGTTTCTAAAAAAACTTTGATTACATAAAGCATTAGTAAATTGAAATCAATGTTCCATCCACATCTCTACTATTTTATATTGCAGACCTTAATTTGATCGGTGGTGTGGCGCATTGTGACGTTGAAGCGTTAGAAATACGCTCACCACGGCACCTCTGATCACCCTCCATGGGGGGGGTTGGAGGATATTTATGTGCGAAAGAATTGCAGGACTCATCGATGCCATAAGGTGGTTCAGGCAATCGCTGGTCGGTTACGACTTCCTCCACCATTAAGTCCCTGAAGAAGTTAGATTAGAGTCTAATGAAAGGCCACTAATGAACTTGCTATTTCGTGAAAAGAGATTACCAGTACCGGTATGTGATTATGTTATTCTTAATTCTTGATGATACTTTCTCTTTCATATAGGACTCTTAACAAGCAACCAAAAATAGGTGTATAGATGCTATGTTGTATGAAAAAAAGGGATTTTTTTTTCGAATTTGGCAAAATTTCATTACAATGGATGAGCCCCACCGCCAAAACCCCACTGCAATAATCCCATTGTGCCAATAAACAATATTATATGAAACTTACAGCTGAATCCCTCTTTCCAAAATACTTTTCTGTTGTTTTATGCCTTCAATTGTTTCTGGGTTATCAGCATTTAATTTCTTTATTTCAAGACTAGCATGCTCAGATGATGAATCAGAATGAATAGATTGTGAGCTACCATTAACATTACTTGATGAATGTCCAGCAGAAAGAGATAAATTTGAGATTGCACCATCAGGGTTATGCTCTTTACCTGTACGTGATTGAATAAATAGTATTGTAGAAGGTATTATATTAGAAATATACAGAGTGGGCCAAAAAAATATTGCTTGTATGAAGCATTATTCAGAATGAATGCACTCCGTCTCTGAAGCCATAAGATGGCCATCTTATGGCCCACCCTGTATATCTTGTAGGATAGTTGCACCAACACTGTATATGGCTTCAGAGACAGAGTGTATTTATTCTGAATAATGATTTGTACAAGAAACTAATTAATAAAGCATGGAAATATATTGGAATACAAAGAATCAACATTTATTATTACTTAGCGTGTGCTTCATCCGATCAATGGATACATAAGCTTGGGTATGATCCTTAATAACTTGCAATGCCAATCTAAGTCAAAAATGTTATTGGCTTCGGCTGGGGTACACTATTTATTGAACACAAAGTAGACCAACTTATGAACCATTTTATGAATTCTAGTTGTCGGCGGGGAGAACTTGCTAATCCCAAACAAATCAATTTCAAATCATTGGCATGGATGGATAAAGTCGCTACAAGTTGATAGAAAGCAAATAATTTTATGAGTTGTATGAGATCCAATATTTAACAATTCAATTAAAAAGTAAAAAATTTTTATTCTGTACTGCTTGAGCGTCTCCGCATTGCATGCTTACAGATCTTGTCGGAAATTAATGCTTTCAGGCTTCAAAGTACCAGTACTAATACACGACTTTCAAATTTATATATTCAAGCATTGCATCTTTTGTTTGATAATTACATGTGAAGGCATTCACTGATTGTATCGTTTAATATTGATTGCTGTTATACAATGAACGCCATACATGTTATTAGAGAGTATGCAAATTCAGGTTACGATTTAAATATTCAATTAGATTCTTTGAGAATCATACTATAAGCAGTTATATTAATAAGAGTTTTATAACTGTGACAAATTGATTGTATAAATAGATAATTTTAAATTTTAATAGTATTTCAAATTAGAAAATTTGAATAATTTAAGCGCACCATTGACGTCATAATTTTACTCCTTCAAATCAAAGTACTCCAAATCCAATTTTGATGCAATAAAATAAAATTTCTCATGAGCCCAAAAGACCGGCATAACATATCGATTAACATGATATGAGAAGCAGACAAATCAATTAATATCAAAATTAATCTTGCTCACCTAAATTTGACATTGAGTGTGGATTGACATAGAGATCTTTACTCCAGTCCACCATACAAGTTAGTATCGACACTAAACATTCCAAACTTTTACTTTGCATTGTATTTTCCTAAAAAACAAAAGACATATAGGGTCTTAGCTAAAAAAAAATTGAGCTTTGACTTCCGAAGTTTCATATACAAAAGAAGAACTTAATCTTTGACGTATTTCAGAATATCTCTAGGTGAAAAGGTTTCCACAGAGCAGCAGTATTGGTAAAAAAGAAAAAAATTGAAAAAGCATACCTGATGCGAACTCAAGTTCGATTCTGGGAGATTTTGATGAGAAATTTTCGACAAAATGTTCACAAGTTCTTCAAATATATTTGCAGCATTGATGTCGCAATCATAATTCACATATATGTCAACAACAATCTGTGCATCTGTTATACAAATATACTGTATAAATAGTTTGAAAAATTAAATTTTCCATTTAATTTGTCAAAACACAGAAGTCTCTCACAGAAAATTTTACAGTAATTTTGGGAATACTCAAATAAATCAATTTAAATAAACACTAGAATAATTCAAAATGAGTTGATCTCATTACCTTCACAAATTTTCCCCAATGTTTGAAGAACCATCCACTTGTGATCAAAAGATGAACTGTTTGTTTCCAATATATTCAAGAATATTTCTTTGAAAAATACCTGGACGATGATTTTCAAATTATTAGAAATTGATTAAATTTTTTGGTAACTAACTGACTATGTTTGCATTGCAATCAGAGCTTAAGCCAATCTATAGCCAAAATCTGTGTTAAAAAATTGATGCATTATTTTCAAACTGGGTTGACCTGCACATTAACAGTGGTTGTCTAGTGGCTCTTATTCAGAGTAGAGAAGTAGGTTTTCTTGGAGGTATGTAATAAAGTGGAATACCACAAAAAACAATTGTGATAATGTATCAGATTATTGAACTATATTAGAACTGGATAAAAAATGTTACGTTCTCACGTCATGTGGAGTTTAGGATTAGTTAACCAGTTATTTGTTTTAGATGCATAGAATTGACAGTGGAGGAAGCCGTAACCGCCTGCATTTAACATGAAAAAACTCCACGACTGCGAGAAGTCCAGCAATCCTTCCATACATATTTATCCCCCACCGGATTTAAACCTATGAAACTCATATAGGATAATCAGAGGTGCAATGGCAAATGTATTCCTAACACTTGACAAGAGGTGCCAAGCCTATATATATAAATTAATACTCTGGTGGAGTCCATAACTTTCAATGATAACACTTGAATATTTACCTGATTTTTAACCCAAAATCCACATGACTACAGGCAATCCTCAATAAAAGTTCCCTATTTCTTCTACTAAGTTTAATTGATAAAACCAAACGCACCTGTATTTGCATTTTGAGATAAGTCTTAAAATTTTCCAAGAGCTTCAGAAAAATTGCGAGTGAAAGCTCAAAGACTTCAGGAATGTTGGATACCCCATTCTTGCTCAATGCAACACAAAGATACTGTCAAAATTAAAAAACAATGTCGCAAATACGCTCAGTCAAAAATGAAGATCAATCGTGAATGCATGGATATCACAGTCTTCACAGTAATTAGATGAAAGTTATCATCAAACCATGAAAATAATCAGTGCTACACAACTTTGGTTAAAATCCCATGCTCACTGCCCTACCCAAGATGTGATGAATTGGGTAAGCAATGCTGAACCGGAAAGATTCTGGTCCTTCTTACGTATCAATGGTTACTTGTACAGGGCATCACTCAGAGCAAAAAGCTTGAAATAAGCATCATATAGCTAGTGTGATATGACTTGATGTCTTTATTCGTTCAACAGGTGTACAGAGAAAATGGGTGCCCTGATGAATTTTTCAAAAGTATAAATAATAACAGTTGTCACCTGCTTAATTGCATTTATGAACATTTCATTTGATCTGAAAACTGGACCTGATGATTCGAGAATAGCTAACAAAAGTTGAAGAGATAAAATTTTGGAACGATGTTCATGAGACCTGAAATGCATCATAACAAAAAACAGGTTTAGTTTATGTAGTACAGCGTTGAGCCAAAGTGTTCCCATCCATTATCAGTATCAAGCATAGATATGTGATTATGCAGAGTCAGATCATATTTGAGTGATTAATTTCAGAAATAAATTACAATGATCCAAAAGCTTTATTTTGTTGCCGATCAAAATTTCTTACCTGGTAAACAGTTTCATTGATCAATTCAATTTCATTTCAAAATTGATCTCCACTAATTAAAGTGAATTATGAAATTTATCAGATTTATCAACATATTTATGTCTACTCTCTATAATTTTGATTAGAAAATATCTTTCCAAATTGTAATCATAATGGTAAACAATATGTTTTCATCGGCCTGTTGACCTTTGCACAAAGTCTCTTGCATATGTATCAAACTGAGCATGTGATGAAATCCCAGAGAAGATTAGAAAATTATCTAAAGGGGACCTCAAAAAACAGAATTTTGAATCTAGTGAGAACATATCTTTTGTGACAATGCTCCTAGATTACTGAAACTTTTGAGTACAATCAGTCAATCTCAATCCTACACAACAAAAATTCAATTGTTAAATATATTTTGTTCCTTTGCGTAAAAGTAATAAAGAAACTTATGGGTTCTGTTTTTTTGGGGTCACCCTGTTTCCTTATGAAATCCTTTCAGAAAAATATACATCAAGCTGCTGTTCTAGTATATATCATCTCAAGATCACAATTTAAACTTGCTTTCCTTTCATTAAATAATGCTATTGCAGATTAGCACAAACGGATTGATGCTTTGTATGACCTTGACACAGTATCAGTCTCAGACACAATCTTGGAGTCAAAAGATTTAAAATGGACACCAATTTGGGATAACACACCGCTCAATCCTAACAAGTCTGATGCAAAAATAAACTAATAATTCACTTACTTGGGATCAGGAGGACCTTCAGATAAAGGTTTCATACTAAGTTTGCATAAACTCCTGAAATGAAAAAAAATTGGTAAAGTCATCAATATTTGAATAAGACTTCATATTAGTGTTTCATCAGTGTTTTGGTTAATTTTGCATATTGAAGCGCATATGTCAAACCTGGATTGGAAACATCTTTTTCTTCTTTTCATTTATGTCATAACTACATTACAGAATGAGGATAAATATCAAATTTTGCTCAAAACTAATTGAGCTAATGTACTTATCTCTTTACAATACTTTAAAATTGGTATTTTTTTCAAATTTCAGTATTCACTCTTTTGTCTCAAGATCTTCGAGATCGAGTAAAAAAATTAGGTATTTATATCTAATTAAAGAATTACAATCGATACGTCTGTGAGTAATTCTTGTTACTAAACATAAATAATCTTAAGATGTTTTACCGGAGAAGTGTATGTAAAATTTTAATAAAAGAATAAAAGCAACTGTTTGATGGTTTGTAACATAATCCCTGGACCACCAGTAGATTGCTTTTTTCATACCACAAGGGTAATATCATGATCATTGGAAGTTGAGATATCCTTACTTGAACATACTCATTGCTCATAAGTGACTCTGGTTTGTGTTTTGGTTCAAAAATTAGAGAAGCATTCAATATTATCAGATGAATTTCAGATTTTCAACATTGATTCTGCAAGATAAAGAACAGCATACCTAAAGGCAAGGAAAGCGTCTTTCTGTAATACATGAGAAAATGATTGACTGTTGTATAACTGTTGTTCCAACTGCTGATAACGAGATGATGCACTTGTGTCTGAAGTCATTGATTCTAAAAAGTTAATAATGATAATCTTAGAACTAAATTATAGGTCTGGTCTTGTTGAATGTATATTGTAAAACATATTATAGCCTTTAGTCAAAATTAGACTGGGTTTCAGTTAGAACGCCGTACAAATACACTCTATCAATATTATATCAGCGGATAATCATACTATCTATATATCCGACTTTAAAATACCCAGAAATATGTTTGTATAAATATTAAATCATGCATTCTGACAAGCACAATGAGGTAAGAAAGTTAGTTATAGGGCTGGGCATTTTTGAATATTTGATGATTTCAGAATCGAATATTTTTTTTGGATTGAATCTCAAAAACTTGGAAGATGTAAATTGTATGTGACTTTTCTATTGTGTGGGTCCTCCAGGCACATAATTTACTGAAAACATTGAATCTAACAATTCCCTGAGTTGTCGCAAACAATAATAACTATGTTTCATCAATAACCTACTAGGAAGATAAGAGTCATCTCATATGTCAGAACTGTATTTTAAAAATATGGCTTCACAGAAAGATTGAGAGATTTACCTAGATACGAGACGGCGCCGATTGAAAATTATCGTGTGAACAGATTCGAATAATTTACTATTCAATTCGATTTGAATATTCGTCTCGAAATGCTCAGCCCTAGTTAGTTATAGTCAAAAACGTTTATTACAGGGAAGTATCCTTCTGTGTTTTATTTCAAAAAATTCCCACCTTTCCTTTCAACTTGATTTTCTGAGGTATTGATCACAACTTGTGACACCATGTCTTCTATAATATCTCGAATCATTGTTTCTGTGTCTGATGATTCAGAATCTGATATTCCGTTAACTTGTTTTTGCTCTTGTTCTGTCATCAATAATAAACAATGATATTTAGATTTACATATTTATCCCTGGAGAGAGGGAAGGCGAGACAGGCTTAATCGTATGATAAACAATGGCTTCTCGTCTGGTTACCAGTCCATGTCGGGTATCGAATTAGTTAGCCCGGTATTTGTTTTCGGAAGCATGGACTCGATTCTGGAGAAAGCTGTAACCGACCAGCGGTTACATGTACCACCCTAATTAATGTAAAAGGATATTTCAAAAACGAACTTTGGTTCTAAATCAGCGTTTCCCAACCTTTTTTGGTCGCAGACTATTTTCTCACCGGCGAAAACCTTTGCGGACTCAAGGTGCGTTTATTGCAACCGTACTCTGTGTAAAGCAGCAATAAAACCAAACACAACAGAAAAACTTAACACAACGAATTTCAAAATCGGTAATTCGCCGCAATTGCGCATAGTTTTTGCGATCTTGCGAATTCGTTATCGCTGTTAGAAAAAATCATACTATCTGCTATAAATTTCCAGAATGTACAACTTAACCCTTTCCGTGCGGTGGGCACGTATACGTACCCACGACAAAACTCGGCTAGATTGCGGCGGGTACGCTGATGTACTCAACTGTTTTATTTAGCAATCAGTCGCAAACTGTTGGTCTAGTTTTTCCGGGTTTTAGTTTATTGATAAGAAGTCTTCTTCGAGATTAACATGAGCGACGGTAAATCTCGCTTTCGTTTACCATGGGAATTTTATTTGCGGCGGAACGAGGGAGTGTTTTTAAAATTTATGAAATTTCGGTGTTTTTTGGGTGGTAATAGAAGACATATTATCCCTTCCATCTACCAAAGTATTTTGAGTTAGATAACGAAATTGCTACAGCAATATTATGCTATTGTTATCCAACCAAGAAGCGGTAACAGTAAAGGATTTAGCGAATATTTCTATTTTTTATCACGGTTTGAAGTTTCAACACCCAAGAAAAAAAAATGCTTTTTTTCTATCCGGTTTGTGACTCAGACCACCCCTTTAAAAAAAAAAAAATTTCTAATTGCCAATTGCAAGCTCTTTAAATAAGCTTTCCAACGAGCCGTCAGTGGGCAGCAGAGGATCATTACTTTTTCGTTAGTCGATCGATTAGTTGTGGGGGTACAAATGCATAAAGTCGGCGTAGCAAATACGATTGTTTAATAAAAAATAAAAATCGCATGGAAAGGGTTAATTTAGTATTTATTAAAAATATATTGAAAGTATATATCTATATATATTAGTAAATCAAGAATACATATTCATCGCCTTGAAATTCTCGCAAACAACTTCTGAAGTAATCGTAGCGTATACGTCACTCATTAAAAAAGCCGACTTTTCAATGACTTTTCTGTTGCATAAACTATTCAATCCATCCCCATGAGTGATTCTTTTAATCTGCGGTTGTGTTGACGAAATAAGAGCAATACTACTCAAAAAATATCATGACAATCCGTGGACACAAAAATGCGTGGTAAAGTGCCCGATTATATTTTGTTTTGACTCGTATTTTTGTGAATTTGACAAATCTGTGTGAATTCTACATTACTACTGTGCGTAGCAATCTGGAGGCAGTAAAGCAGAGAATCCTAATAGAATATGCCCTGGTACGTATACTACGGTAGCACGCGGAATTTTGCGATTTGCAATGTCTAAAAAAGCGTTTTTAATCGGTCGCGGACCGCTTTTCAATTTAGAAAATTTGGGTTGCCACCATTTACACCGACCAGAATTTTGTTTTATTACACGTTGTTCGAACTTGCGAGAAACACCTATTACGAATCTATCGAAGCGTGTACAGACTCTTGTTTTCGTCGAAAATCCACAAGTGAGTTGTGAAATCCAATCGTTTGATTAAGCGACTCGCAAGTGACCTGTCGCGTCACATGTTACCAAATTTTCGATTAGTAAATATGCTATCCTAATAGTTGAATATTCGTATATATGCCCAGCCCTACTCAGTAACCAGTAATTATTGACGCGATTAATGTCATGTGAATAAACTGACTTTTCATGTTTTTTTGTAAATTCTAACGCAAATCCTAACTTGGCTGATAGTTAATTTCGCAAAAACGTTTGCGGCCCGCAGTGAATTTCTGACTCGTTGCGGACTCATTTAAACGCTCTGCGGACTCATTTGAGACCGCGGACTCAGGTTGGGAAACACTGTTCTAAACAATGCTCTGCACAAACAGCCATTGTTGGGTAAGAAGCTACTATAATTTAATAAGACCAGAATTTTTCTAGTTGTAGTGTATTCCTATATATTTTGGTGATAGGGCCAACGTTAATATTCTTGTGATAGGGCCAATGTTAACAAAATTAAGAAATATACAGCCAAGCAAAATTTACCCAAAAAATGCATAAAACGACAATGCTATAAACAACAGTTATTACCATTCTCAGATTCAGTTTCACCGTTTTCAGGCGCAAATTCATTTTTTTCTTTGTTCTTTTCAATAGATTTTTCAGGTGAAGATGAATTTTCATCCCCTTTACCTGATTCTTGATTCAACGATGTTTCTGCAATCATCTTTGATTGATGTCTGTCGCTCTCTGGAGCTTCATCTGAGAAATTCATATATTCCCATTTTATTAAAAGAGGTAGTGGTGTTCAATATTTTTTCACTTGATATGACTTTGTACCTCCCTTGGATAGCCGTAGGCGAGCGCACTCCCCAGGTTAAAAACCCACAAATATGAAGCATTACAAAAATATATTCGTGTCAGACTTTTTTCACATTACTAACCGTATATGAATGTGGTTTCTGCACACTCATCTACGGATTTGATAAACACAGAAATTTGCTTTAGTAATTTTAAGTACCTTATTCAAATTTAAATATTATTATCACCGGTATTCAAACCAGGTAAATAAAGTAACTCAAAGGAGAAAAATACCATAAGAATAAATCATTTTCACTGAAAATTGTATCTATGAATATAAACCTTGATTCTGTGTTGAGAGATTATCCGTAGAATTTTCATTTGTTCTATCCATGTTCCCTTCGTCCATCCCATTATGATTGGCCTGATGTAAAAATATGATTCTCATCTCATTATCTTTTTCATTATAATATAGAAGTAAGGACCAGATTGTTAGTGTGTTTTGGGTTTCACACTGGAATGAATTTTACGCCTCTTTGTCAATGCTTGAAAACATTAGTCAAATAGCAAAAAATAAGGGTTGATGTACCAATTAAAACACAAATTCCTCACAATGTTTGTTGTATTTGTAAAGCTTCAAAAATTCAATCTGTGGGAATGGACTATCTTGTTTATTCAAGTATCCAGTCAATATTTTTCATTATCTTATCAATCAAACCTTGTCAACTAATTGGTGGTACAAAAAACCTTATCAATATTATCTATTATATTATCAATCAAACCTCGCCATCTAATTGTGGTCCCAAAAACATAACCACTTGAAAATTATCTTATAAAACAACAGTTCAATTTTCAACTAAAATGTCATTATCACTATTAGGATTGCTGGCTTGAAGTTGTTAATGTAGAAATATGAAGTGTTTTAAAGTACAAGTAAGTTTGTGTTTATTTTTCTCCAAACTATTTAGGTTTTATTTGAAACGGGTTCTATTATAGAAACAAACGCCATAACATTTCAGTACTACAAATGAGAATTTTACTTATTTTAAAATTGGCATTATTTTCATCTGACTCATAAATGTCAAAGTAATTCATGGTAAATATGTCATATCTGAAAACAATACCCCCAGTATAGGGTACTCCCGTAGTATGTGAACCAAGATGGCGAACACCGGAACATAGTATGTGTACCAGGTTAGGGTTAGGCCATAATTTTAGTCCAATTTTCCTTATTTTAGTTCTATTACGAGTTCGGGAAGTAGCCAAGTGACTCCCGTAGTATTTGTACCTGAAATTATGACCTAACCTTAACCTGGTACACATACTACATTCTGGTGTCTGTCATCTTGGTTCACATACTACGGGAGTACCCAGTATAGTGTAAATAACTCTGATAATTTCATTTGAATTTACTTATTATATTTTCAATCAATAATGGACAATTTTATATACCAGTAGATATTATGTTTGAATATTTGCAAAAAACATTTCCAAATATTATTAGCTAATTAATGAAGTATATTAGATCTCCATGTTCAGCATCGGACAACAATGAGAATAAAAACATTTCTGGAGGAACTAGATAACCAGAAAATAATAAGACTTTATCCTGAGTTCATGAAATCAAAATATCTCTACTCATTGATTTATTGATTTGCTAAATTGATATATAGATTTTTCCTTCTAATAGTACTAAATATAGCACACAGATTTCATTTTGTTTCCAATCGTTTTTGTTCGCCATTGTTGAGGATATAAAATGTTAAATGAGTACTGGTACATACCATAGAATCTTCTGTAATTGATTCATTTTCTTGCTCAATTTTTTCATATAATTCAGAGTCAATATTCTGCATCAATGAAAAGACAATAATGATCATGAAGAAAAGTAAACAATTATAGCAGAGATAAAATACTTTCTCATCCAATAAGTTGAATCTTGAATGATTAAGCAATAACAAAAAATTTTCCAACTGCTTTGCTTGAACAATCACCTACCAATATTTAATTAACATGTTAAACAGTCTGGAAATTTACCTCTATTTGCTCTGCTTGTAAAATGACAATAGTTTAAGGGGGAAAACAAAACATAAAATTCCTTCATACCTTTTAAATTACATACTGGTAGACTAGTTAAAATTATTCATTCTTTTCATGACATACTATTTTCTGATATGCACCATTGGTTACATGGTCAGTCCACTTAATAAAAGTGATATAAAGATGTTCAATTCATCAAACTGAATAGGATAAGGATCAAGGATATCACAATTATCAAATGAATTTCTTATAACCATAATCTAACAATCAACCACAAGATGTACTAGGGGAAATATGACCCTGATTATCTTATATTACAAGATTTTTAATAGTATTTACAGCGCTCAGAAACTGGTTGTGAACAATGGCTCGTTTTCACAGTTTTAAGTGCTATTTGTCAGTTTTTAGTCATGTTTTGAAACTTCAGTACAAATTAACTTAATAATATGTGTGTCTAGTTGTAGTAATCATAGACTATAAAATAGCTCCGAAAAAACTGGCTAAAATTTGTTATCATTTGTACATTCATTCAAATTGCAGGTGGGTAAAATATTTTGAATCAAAATGATGGTTATTATTAAGGAAATGTCAGCCAGTCTTATATACACTAGAGATTTTAAATTAAATTGTTAAATATTACACTATATATACATACCGCTTGGGCTTCCATTCTTGCAAAAATAACATTCAACATCTGGCTCAATGTAGCTTTCGCAGTTGTCTGTCAAGTAAACGATAAATTATAAGATGTTACAACACTCATACGACACTTATGGGAAATTCCATTCAAGCATTAAATGAGTAGCAATTTTTTTATCGATGCATCATATCCCCACGTGATGATCATACAATAAAAAGTGGTATAAAATTGAATCAAATAAAGTATTTTGATTAATCTCAAATTGCTTGCAACCCCAGATATGCATATATGCTTATATATGAAACTAATAAAGAATTGCAATTGAAAATACAGGCACATTGTATTTTAACTACCTGATTCACAACACTCCTTGATGCGAGATATATGTTGTAGCATGTGCGAACAGCCTGCAGAATGGTGCCATCATGTATTTCACAATTGTTGCTTGTAACAGCAGTTAGAAGAACCTAAAAGACATATACCATAGGTTATTTCAATTTGCAATGTTAGTTACAGGGCAAGGGGGCCAACACATTGATCAAGATCGACCGCAACGTCTTGAGTAGTCGATCGCGTCTGATGTTGAGTAAATTTAATAACATACCTCAAAAAATTACCTTGATATAGTTCAAAACATGTTGTGTGTTTCAAAATAGTAAGAATATGGTACCTGGTACTATACATTCGCAAAATATGATATGCACATACAGTATTTGAGTATGGACAAGCCAGATAGAGCATATTATTACCTGCCAAGGTTTAGGAATCTTGACTAACGAACGATCCTACAACTTCTGCAGTATGTGAAATCATTATTTTTTATTATGGTTATTGTATTTTTTTCTTATTTAATTAAAGAGCCTTGCTTCCCACTAATACAAATGTATTTCTGTAACATTTCGTCTGACAAAGGTAAGACTACTTCAGACAAACATTTTCAACCACAAGAAAAGCGAAGCTTGCATATAAATAATGGTTATCAATTGTTTGCTTTTTTCATAGGCATGGAATTAAAATAAAATACAGAATAAAATTGATTAGGGTTATGAATTAACTTCTTTACAGTTGTCTTTATTAACATGTGAACGCCAGAAATATAATAACCAAGCTTCGATGTCCGCCATGGTGTGAGGATTATTACTTATGAAATTAGAGAATAGGCGGGTGTATAGTTTATCAACATTCAAATTTCATCCGAAATGATCGTGGTGACTAAAACCATCAGATTATAACAGAATGATCCAGCAAAAACTCTGCATTGTTTCCAATATATTAGTCTGTTAATAATATCAATCTCTGGCGTTCAGAACTACCGTTGTATATTATTAAACAAATTCATTATTTGAGTAGGCCTATCAGGTATCCATTATTAAATATATTAAAATTATTCAATTTAAGAAAAAAAATAAAATTTTGCCAGTTTGTGTAACCCGCAATACCAACAGAGTCAGTTTAACTTTTTATTGGAGATTGCTCTTGTACATTTGCGTTTTGTGTCACAAAGGATGTTGTGTCACATTATAAAATACTCACTAGCTTGTTTCTTGAGCCATTGTTCCCCACCCAAAAAAGTGGCTTTATCTGTAGTATGCGGCCGGAGTAAAAGGTCGGTCAGTAAATGGTTGGGAACCACTGCTTCATAAGCTAGCCATGACATATCTCTAAGTCACTGCTTGTTTATTATTAAATTCTTGTTCACAATAGGTTTTGAAAGAATGTGATTATCTAGGTCCTTGGACTAAATAAGGCACAGGTCAAAAATAAGATACAATAAGTAGGCAAACCTTTATAATTTGAAGTTGAACATTTTCATCCGTTTGTACACCCATGAAACAATTGCATATTGTATCGATCACTCTGTCAATTAAGCGTTTCCCTGGTAACGTAGAATCAGGAGCATTGCCCACAAGAATTCCATAGGCAATCATTTTCTGAAAAAAAATATATATATCATCTCTCGTTCTCATTGGAAAATATGTTTGCAGAATTCTGGAATAAAATCTGGATATGCTCAATCAGGTCAACTGTATATGAATACAAAATATGAATCTTGTATATAGAATCAAAATTAGACTCCAAAAATTAAACCACTTCATGTGATTCACCTCTTTAGCTCAGAGGCACAGAACTCCTAGCTTGGAGGCGTGGAACTCCCAAAAAATTGACATGAATAAAAAATACAAAACAGATACTGTATAAATGCATAGACTGGAGACTGGAGAGATAAGGAAGTCTATATTACCGGTAGTTGACCAAATTTGCCTGAATTCTTCATATAAAGAGCAGTTGGGTAAGAAGCCCGAAATATTAAAAAATACTGAATAATCAAAATATATTGAAGACAAAACCCATTATCTAATTGGTTCAATATCAAAATCCAAGTGACATTTGCCAGTGTATATTATATTGTTCGAATATAACGATTCATTAATAAATTAAACCATGTTGATAAATGATCATAACATCTTTCAGGGCATATATGCAATGTAAATTCACCTGCAAACAATCCAAAGCTATCCCAACAACCCCAGCCGACTTTGATTTACATGCCATTTCAAAAGCCAAGAAGTATTTATCAGCTTCGATGATCGTGTGCGGAGAATTAGCCTGCTCATCATGCCCACTATGTAATATAAAGAAATAAATGAATTTAGATCAGACATGTTCGACTCCATTCTTCTTTCATTTCATGATACAATTGAACAATGACCATAATATACTACAATAGAGCCCATTATATATATATATATATATACCTTACCTAATTTATTATTTGAAAAATAGCACACATCATGAATTCGAGTAATGCAATATCAAGTTCACAAACTCAACTAAAATGAAGAACCACCGGTACATAACACAAAAAACATTGCTGAGAATAATGATCTCACTTAGACCTCATACCATCAATAACAACTAATACATTAAATAAATCAGATCCCATATTATTACGATTTTTTTTCACCTTCAGATTATGAGATATTTTTATACATTATTACAAATGAGATAAACACAATACTGTACCCTTGCTTCTGTAAATCATCTTGAATCTCATCTAAAAACAGAAAAGAAATTTAATAGATACAACATTGATAATTTGCTAAAGAAGTAAAAGAAAATTTTTATATCTCACGAATTTATTCTGTTTTATTTAAAAAAGAAAAATGAATGGTAAATTTACCCAAGGCACGAGTAATAATATAAAAACCTTATACAATGTTTGATCAGATTTATTTTATTTTTTAATTAAGCTTGTTCAATCAGAAATGTACAAAAGTAATACAGTAACACTATAGCTACGGTATTATATTTCACTCCAAATATCTACTTGAAGCTTATAAAATTGCACTGTATTGGTCATCTTTCAATCAAAAATTTATTGAACGCTCTCAACAATTTTATTTATTACATTGGATATCATTTGATTATCAGGAGTAAAAAAGGGTTGAACATCTATTCTGGTTTTGGAAAATATAGCCTCATGCCAAGTGAAAGAACCAGGGTTGGTGGAAGAAGTCATCTGCGAATGTGAGCCGCACTCTATAATAGTTAACAGTGAGCAAAACTAAGAAAGTCATTAATTGTCACGACTCGAATCAAACTTTTATTTAAAAATTTGTTTTTAACATTCTATTGTATTTTCAAACAAGTAAATTAAATATATCAAGTAATATAAATTCTATAATACGTTTTAAATAAAACTTGATCTCAGTGACAGAGGTACATTTAATATATAAAAGTATTAGGGCCAGCAATAGCAAAAAGATTGTACACGTCTGATCTAGCTCATCTACCCCCTATGCTGTTGACATGAAAGATAGTATGAATATATACAGCAAGGAATTATTCAATTCTGCAATTTGCTTTGGGAATAATCAAATGAATAAATTTCATTTACAGTGGCATCATATTTCATTCTCACATGTTCTTACCAAGTGCAGTTTTACAAGCTTTTCTTAATTGAGCATTTTGAGATTTCTTCAGCTCCTTATCTGATAGAATTCGCTCTAAAGCTCGAATAAGGAACATACTTCGAGTTACCTTGGTTTCCTGCATAACTAAAATATAATCGTAGGATATTATAAGTCAGTAAGTAAAATCAGAAAATATCATATAATTCCTAATCCTTCACCCTGACACCACCAATACAATGCATTGCAGCTGCTTGAACAACATCAACAGCGACATTTAAAAATAAACAAATGGCCTAACTATCTGACTATTGAACTGGGATATTCCAGATTGAAATGATCCTCTAAAATTTATAGAACCATACCTTCTTCAACAAAGTTATAAAAGTTAAAGCTTAATATATATAAGGTATAAAAGGTTAATATATATAAAAAGAATTAAAATCATACCTACCATATAAAAAAATTCAAATTGGTGCTGAAGATATAGATTTCAAGTCCCTAAATTAATACAATGCATCTGGAGAAATGGGTACCGGTACATAACATCTGAACATGGGAAATATTCAAAAAGCCTATAGCCTGGAGAGCAGAAGAGAATAATTTATTAATGCATTGTTACTAATAAAATACCGATCAAAAGTTCTATCAAAAATCTCTGAAAAAAAAATATATTGAAAACTGAGATTATTTGAGTACAGGAGTGCCGGTACCTATTCCAGTACTTGTTGAATGCAAGAATAGGAGGTCGAAATAGTGAGAACAGGAGACAGGGAGAAGGGGGACAAACAAGTTGAGATCTGAAATTATCAAATATACAAAAGACTTCCTGTAAAGCTCACAATTTCAAAAAGCCTTCTTCTGTTGCTAAAGAAAGTTCACAAATACAGACATAAGCTTTACGAAGTACAGAAGAACCGTATACTGGTATACCGCAAAACTTGTGAGACACATACGGTACCGGTACATACCGCTGTACCGTGTGGGGTATAAACTGTTTTATGTCCTGCGTAGAGCTACGGTATATTCCGATAATGATGAAAATAAAGATATACGTACGGTACGGTACCGGTATGTATAAACTTGAGTGTTTATTCCTAATTTAGTAACTAGTAGAGAGAGGGAAAGCTAATTGGTATCCGGTACCGGTACTGCAGTACGGTACCGTGTAGTGGTAGATATACACGATCTTGAGAAGTCAACACGGCCACACGGACAACACTACTGTTGTATAATGGCTCTGCTACGACAGAGGGGGGATTGGTGAGTTCACTGAGTTGTCCTTCTTGACGCATTTTCTACGGCGACGTTTTAAGGCCAAGAGGGGGTGTAATTTCGATCGTTTCATGGCCCTAATGGCAAGAAAAACTTTTCAATATTCTCACTTCGATATTTTGTTTCTGTTTCTACGAATACAGGGTACAACTGGCGACTGGCGTGGCAAACTACGGCCAGCGGGCCAAATTTAAAGGGTAATTCATTCTGGCCCGCCCGATGCTGCCACAACCGAGGTAAAACAAAATTTTGGTGTTTCAGCTAAAAAAAAATAGCTTAAGGAATCCGTTGAGATTGGGATTAAATTTAGTACTAGCATGATTGCTTATTGTTTTCCATTTTTGCTTTTGCAGCACTGTGAATATTGTTTAAAAATGTAACTTTTAACGTCAGACTTATATGACCCGCCAGTGGTGGGCAAAATTTTTGGCCGGTGGTTCTTTCAAAAACCTCGCCCACCCCTGAGTACACTCTTTTTCAGAATAAACTGGAGTCCGTTGTAACGTTAGCAATTTCAGACTGCTAACGTTATACGACTGTGTGCCTTCGTTAGCGTTTTTGAATTGTGGTCATATTGAATTAGGTTTTTAAACATATTAAAACCTTAGACATGACATTAACACATATTTTTATATTCACGAATGTGAGCTTTGTAGCCGAATAAGACACCGACGGTCGCATGAGTTTCAACTCGCCTACAGAACAATATCGCTTTGCGAAGATACGATGTCGGTGCCGCAGAGGCAGACAACTCCCAAACCGAACAATTAGATGCAGACAACTCACTTCCCGAGCAATCGCTCTGCTTAGTTAAGATGTCTATGCTCGAGATCGGCGATTAACGTAACACGGGGATCGAATAATGTGCAAGATTGGCGATAGCGACCAACAGAACAGACCGAAACACAACCAATGAACCGCTGCAGAGGGACTATACTGTATTCCGAAGAGTTTTTGGACACGTAGTGGACATAGCGATCATTTTGTTGTTATTGGACACGTAGTGGACATATCGATCGTTTCAATATTATGTTGTTGTTACTGTTATTATTCTTTGTCACCATCATTATAAAATCGCTTTTCTCTTCGAATACTGGACCAATTGCTTTAAAATTTTCAGTGGTTAAAGTTTGACTTTTTTCCAGAAGGCTATTACTTTTATTTATTCCTAAATTTTCTATGAATCCTATGAGATCTGATATTTCATTTAAAATTTCGCTGTTCTAAAATTTACTCAAGGGAACACTGTTTTAAAAACCTATTTCAAGCGGTTGCGTGATCAAGCCTGCAGGTACGGTACTGCTAGGTTACCATACCACAGTGAAATTGACCTATTCCTTTCGCGATCTTAGTATTGCAGTAATGTAGGTTTTTTTAGCAAATCTAGCCTACCGTATTTGTTAATTTTGATAAAGAGCAAATTGAATTGAGTTTTTATATGCCAGAGAAGAACCGTTCCACGATCGAATAGGAGGCCTACATACAGCAACCGGCACTGGTAAGGTACCGCAGTGAATTACGCTCTCATCTTTTCGTTACAGTTCTGATAGAAACAACATAAATTTTGTAGCCTACCCTATTTTTTTTATTTGATAAGAGGAAATGAAATGAGTTCTTATATAACAAGGAAGAACCGTTCTGCGAACGGATTTCAGGTACTGGTAAGTTACCGTACCGCATATGATTATCAGGGAATCGATATTTATTTTATTTTGCCCTGGTACCGTAATGGAGAAGTGTCTTAGATCACTTGGTATTTCAATTCACGTTGAAATTGGAAGTGGGACAAAACAGGCTTTTAGTGGCCCAGAGTAGGCTACCTCCTACCTGTCAATCAAGTCATCGATCTAGTCACACTAGAGTGATTTTGGCGTTTAGAGGCCGTTAAGTGGCATTGGGGGTGGTGCCTCCGCTGAAAACTGATTCGGTTTCAGATGTAAATTCTGAATTTTCTGTTTTTGCGAAGCCACGATTGAACCTGTAAATGAGCAATACGCCCCTACGAAAACTTTGTCAATGGAGGATACTAAATTAAAACCATGGATAACGATGGGACTACATAAATCTGTTGAGGGTCGATTTAATAGAATGAGGCATTACCTGAGAGGGACGCCTAAACCGTGAAGTTTTAAAGTTTGGAGTCACAGCAGAACTAGTGGCATTTAGGACAGAATGCTCTGCTGGTGAAACCATTTCTTGTTTCATTGATGTTGAAAATAAAGCGTCGGCGCGAAACGATTAGGTTATATTCTCAGTAAACACCTTTTACTGGATACGCATATTCTCCTGCGCTACGAGTATTATATCTGTCAAAACACGTGGGGAAGATAGGGATACTTCTCTCTTTTGAGCACTATACCGCACATTCATTTGACATTGCAGGACTAATGCAGAAATGGGTAAAGGTAGTTTTTATCCAGCGACTAGAAAACACCCAAGCGACACAAATTTTACCAAAAGCAAATAATTTACTCTTACGAATGCACTCTGAAAATGTATTTTTGAAATTGGAAAGGATTCCAAATTGGGCCATGGGCTAATAGATAGCCTATTACAGGCATGGGCAAACTGTTTTAGTATAAGAACCGCATGCAGCAAGTCAGAAATATGCGAGAGCACAAACGTATAATAACAATATTGAAAAGTATATATTGCGAGCCCATATCAGAAGTAGTTGATTTGTGTGTTTCCATCCTATCTGAAAGTCTTGGTGATATGTAGTCAATGCGGTGCCAGACATATCGCACTGTTACTGAGACTAACCGCAATAAATCTACAACAAACCGCCAACGCAGCAACAAACATTTGATCGTTGTGATTTAAGATTTGTCGTTTGCAAATTTAACTTTATATTCCACGCTACGATTTTCATACCAAAACATAATTTGTCTAAATCATTGATAAAAAACTTCCCCAACCGCCTAACAAATTAAAAGAGAAATTGTTATGTTGAGAATAATTGTTATATATAGATGTTAAATTTGGATAATAATTATTGCTAGCGAGAAGAGCCGCATGCGGCCCTCGAGCCGCGGTTTGCCTACCGCTGGCCTATTATAACACAAAACCTGACGCATCTACAGGTCTCCAAGCACTCAATGAATGAGACACTGACAAATGATGCACCGTTGAGCATGTCCCACTGAACCCCGTTCCATTGTTCCCCAAAGAGCACCAAGTATTTTCGTACTGCTCTACGTCAAGGTCATGAAGACACATCTACTTGCAACGTTATATTTAACAGTGGAATAGAGTTGGAAAAATGCCAAACAGTGGTCTGCCCTATTGGAAACGCTAGAGTAGAAAAAGGAAAATACTGAAACGACAAACTTCACCTTCAACCTTCCAAAACCAACCTCACCTGATAGGTTCGTTGCGCAATTCATCTTATTGTGGAGTACAATATCGAAACGCGTGTTCATTTTTGGATGTTTATAGGAGTGCGAGAGCGGCGTTATCAATTTGACGCTATTGCTACGAACTCCAAAATATGTGGAAATTCGCGCTGGGCATTGGTGCTCATTTACAATTTGAACGACATACATTTAGTAACAATAAAACGAAAAAAGGCATTTTAAATTTTGTTTCAACGCTTTTCTAGGCAGTGAAAATCGCAAAATTTCGTGGGCCTACCGTATTATGTTTGGTCGGGCGTTTAGAAACATATCGTCACGAATTGAGGGCGGGATTTGCCTGATTATTCATTACTTTAAATTGCCGTCGAATATTTTCGTGTTAACATTATACAAGGTTTGAAACGCGACTTTTTCCCGGGTTGTGAGGATGTATATAATATAATTAATCTAAAGTCTATTCAATCAATTTTATTGTGATGAAATAAATATTACTCTGAGATGTTACAGCAGATTTATGGATTTTTCGAACGGTTTTATCTAAAAATAATCAAGAGTGTCAGCATTTCGATTGGGCGGAGTCACTGTTAACAAGTAGGCCTACATCTAAATATTTGCCGAATTCGCAAAATACGGATCTGAACATTATTTAATCGGGCAGTTTAGCACACGTTTTTATTCTTATGATCGCGGATTGCAATGATATATAAGAGTGGTGAGAATTTTATTTTGTCGACGCAACCGCAGGTTAAATTGAAGCAAATTAAATTAATAAAGCAAGACATTTTGAATATGCCCGTATCGGTCACGAATTTATCACTTTGCACAACAGAAAAATATATATTTGTTGTTATATCATTGTTGTAAAAGTCGACTCTTTTAACAGATGGCATAATCGCGGCGATGAATATGTATTTTTAATTTACGGCTAAACTTTATATGTATATTCATTGTATGAAATGAATTATACAGTACACTTAACAGGATTT